TGCAAATGCTTACTTTGCGTAATGGGTTGAGCTGCCCCTGAGTGGAGGCTCCTTCTTTGGAAGCTTTTAAACAGAGGCTGGATGGCCATCTGTCAGGGGTGCTTTGAATACAATATTCCTGCTTTTTGGAAAGGGGTTGGACTGGATGGCCCAGGAGGTCTCTTCCAACTCTTTGATTCTATTCTAAAACAAACTCTCCTGGATGGCTCTTTGCAGACACAATGGTGGCAGAGAATTTGCAGGAAGGGCTAAAGAGTAAGCCTCAGATAACCTTTAGCTTGGGTTCAGTCACCACTCACATTGCTTTATTTTCTTTCTCCCTTTTTTCAACACCACCAGCTGCATGGAAAATCAGAGAGCCAGAGAGCTCACAAACAACGGTGTTCCCTGCTCTGCTCATTTCCCCTTTCCAGAGGTCCACCAAACCTCTGGACTTGATGAGATGGGCAGCGTCAGGAGGAGGCGGGGCTCCGTTTGGGCGCGAGGGATGGGGAGGCCAGCGCCTCGTGCCTCCTCCCCTGGCCCGCCTCACAGGGGAGAAGCGGGAGATAATTGTTTGACTCAATAGTAAGTCACAGTCTCTGGCCAGGCTGCAAATTGCGTACATCTGACGGCGGGCCTGCGCTTTCTTATGCTGCTGGGATTGATTCACAGGCTGCTGCCTGGTCAGTGTAGAGAGAACTCGTATCAAGGCTTAAACCGAAATATTCTTGAGATAAAGCTAGCAGGCTGCAGGAAAGACAGATATTTGGCATACAACATGGAAATAAGGGACCAGGGCCTCTGGAACTGCTCTACTCCCCCCCTCTCCCCATTGTAAACATTGTGTCACAAAATGGAAAGAAAAGAGAGAAAAAAAAGAGAAGTCTGTTTGGATGGACTTTTGCCATCTGATTATAATAGAAACAAAGTCGTCCTTTTGGAACGGGTGGGGTCACTTCACATGGAAATGGAGCCCTGAGTAATGACAGCATGGCCTACCAAAACTTTTAAAGGCTAGACCAAACCATATCTTTGCAATTCGGAGCTAGAGGTTCACACCTTCACATCTTTGGGATTAGCAGAAGCCAATGCCTAGCTAATATCAATCATGGGGAGCCCCCAGTGGCGCAGTGGGTGAAACCCCTGTGCCGGCAGGACAGGTTGCAGGTTTAAATCCAGGGAGAGGCGGGTGAGCTCCCTCTATCAGCCTCAGCTCCTCATGCAGGGACATGAGAGAAACCTCCCACAAGGATGATAAAACATCAAATCATCCGGGCGTCCCCTGGACAACGTCCTTGCAGACGGCCAATTCTCTCACACCAGAAGGGACTTGCAGTTTCTCAAGTTGTTCCTGACACGACAAAAAAAATCAATCATGGGGAAAATGTGTATGTTATCAGCAGGCCTTTCCCAGTAGCCCATCATAGGGAATTACCATGCTGCTAAGGATAAGGCATATCAACAAAAGTCATAGTGGACTTGACAACATTTACACGGCCTAAAGAAGCAGAGCCTTAGGATTTTTAATATAATTTTAGTGGAACATATTGCATTTATTAACTTTGTTGTATACAGTTTATGTAATTGTGTTATTTCTTTATCAGCTTTATTTTGCTTTTGAGTCATATAATTTATGTTGTTTTAAGAATTGATTCCAGCTTTGAGTCCCACTCCTGGGAGAAAAGCAGGATAAATAATAGTAATAATAATAATAATAATAATAATAATAATAATAATAATAATAATAATGTTGCAATCCTGGGCAATAGCAGGATTTAAGAGAAACTATTGGAAAAGCTGACAAGATATGAGGATTTAAAGTCTGAACTGCAAAGACTCTGGCACAAGCCAGTCAAGGTGGTTCCAGTGGTGATCAGCACACTGGGTGCAGTGCCTAAAGACCTTGGCCTGCACTTAAACACAATAGGTGCTGACAAAATTACTATCTGCCAGCTGCAAAGGCCACCTTACAGGGATCCGCACGCATTATTCACCGATACACCACACAGTCCTAGACACTTGGGAAGTGTCCGACGTGTGGTCCAATACAACAGCCAGCAGAGTGCCTGCTGTGGACTCATCTTGTTGTGTTAATAATAATAATAATAATAATAATTATAATTATTATTATTATAATAATGGATTTAAAGATCAAATTGAAAAGATTTTGGCACAAGCCAGTCAAGGTGGTCCCAGTGGTGATCGGCATACTGGGTACAGTGCCTAAAGACCTTGGCCTGCACTTAAATACAATTGGTGCTGACAAAATTACCATCTGCCAGCTGCAGAAGGCCACCTTACTGGGATCTGCACGCATTATTTGCCGATACATCACACAGTCCTAGACACTTGGGAAGTGTCCGACGTGTGGTCCAATACAACAACCAGCAGAGTGTCTGCTGTGGACTCATCTTGTTGTGTTTCTAATAATAATAATAATAATAATAATAACTTTTGTAACATTGCCCTATTTACATTTAGGTTTGATGGCTTTGCGCTCAGTTGAGGTGCTCCTTCAGTTCCTTAAATCATGCTTAACCTCCTCAAAATGCCTAGCTATGAGCTGTCCAATCTAAGGAAACTTGCATAACTTTGAATGTTCCTTTTTACAGATATAGTTTCATTCCAGGTAGTTAATTACTGTCACATAATCATTGCTCCCTCTGTCAGCTCCAGCTTCCCATGCGGGGACATGAGAGAAGCCTCCCACAAGGATGATAAAACATCAAAACATCCGAGTGTCCCTTGGCAACGTCCTTGCAGATTGCCAATTTTCTCACACCAGAAGCAACTTGCACTTTCTCAAGTAGCTCCTGACATGGAAAAAATATTAAAAAGTTATTTTTTTACACCAGAAATACATCAAACTAGTTACTTAACAGACACACATATGACATTAAGTAGCTGTCCTGATGTATGAAGCACAATTTCCTTTTATCCACTCTGTCTCACTTCAACACCAACAAAATAACAAAAGGCAACAGCAAAACATATACTAGAAGTATTTAACTATTTGAAATTCTTCCTGCACCATGTAGTAACCTCCATAACTATGTGTATCATTATCAACGTATGAATGTACTAGGATTTTCTTAGGCAAGGAGTACCCAGAGGTGGATTTACCAGTTCCTCACTTGAAAATATAGTTTACAACACGTAGTATTCATTGGCAAATGCCATCCAAGCCCTGAAATAATTAAACATTACAGTTACACCAAGAAAGGAGTGCAGTTCCTCCTTGCTAAATTACAGTCACAATGCCATAGAGTCATATCCCTTTGTTGTCAGGGGGGAAATAGTTACAAATTGCTTATTATATTCATAACTGCTTGTGGCTGAATGAGGAAAGGTATGCCATGAATCTCAGCAGCACAAGTTACATCTGTCTCCACTTCTACCACTCTTTCACAAACACATAAAACCCATTGGACTTTTTTAAACGAATGCAATCTCTAGGATTGTCTGTGATCCTGGAATTTCTCCCCATTAACCCAGATTGTTTATGATTGCAGATTGCCATTTGCTCTATTACTGTATGACTTGGCTCCCCAGCATGGGTCAATCTCAAACTGTTTGCTCCGTAAGCATCTTTTTGCAATGTGTCAGATCTCGACTTACTGAACTCTAGTTCTTTTTAAAAGCAAGCAGCCAAATAATGGCATGTCTGTATATGCTTTGTTGGGATTTAGGTCTTTTCCAAATCTATAAAAGGTGTTATTTTTCAACACTATATAAACTGCATTCTGCACATGCTTCAGAACTTGTTTGCCTGTCACTTGTCCAAACCAGAATCAGATTGCATTTTGGTAAATGCTCCTCTCAGATCATGCACTCAGGACCATAACTAGAAAAGAAAGTAAAGCAGAGGAGCTGAATAGCTGGTCAGATACAAAGTCCTTCCTTGGTATCTGCTGGGATTATCCATTCTGTCTCACTTCAATACCAGTGAAATAACAAAAGAAAGCAGCAAAATCTGTGGACGCTCAAGTCCCATTCTATACCTTGTGGTTGCAAAATGTCAACCCTTATATAACATGGTAATATCAAGGTTTTCTTTTGGAAGAGCAAGGGAATATTTTAAGCCATGGATGGTGGAATCTGTGGGTGGAGGACCATCTGTACTTGCTATTGGCCACCAGTTATAGGATTCGTATCATATGTCCTTCCAGCTGATATTGGACTGCAACTCCCAGAGCATAGCTAATGTGGAATGCTGGGAGTTGCAGTTTAACATCTGGAGAGCCACACAATTCCCTTTTCTGAGCTAGACCAGGGTAGGAATTGCAGCAACAGTGCTTTTCAGTCTCTTAATATAGTGTTATAAACCTTTTATTAAAAAACTAGCCGTTCCCTGCCACGCATTGCTGTGACCCAGTCTGTGTATATGTGATTTGTGTGCGAATATGTGTGTATATATATTTCTGCATATGTGTATATATGTGTATATATATGTGTGCGCGTGTGTGTGTATGGTTTTGCGCACGTGTTGTAATGCATTTTTATTTTTATTTTTTGGCTTTTTAAGTCTCTTCTGCTGTGTTTTCCAGTGTTTTTATCAGTGATGGTCACTCATTGGCCTGATATGTGGATTGTGTCCAAATTTGGTGTCAATTTGTGCACTGGTTTTTGAGTTATTCTAATCCCACAAACAAACATTACATTTTTATTTATATAGATGGGCCTGCTCCAGTATTTTAAACAGCATACTTAACAATGGGACTTTTGGTGTACTGTTGAAGGCTTTTGTGGCCGGAATCACAGGGTTGTTGTAGGTTTTTCGGGCTGTTCTAGAAGCATTCTCTCCTGACGTTTTGCCTGCATCTGTGGCAGGCATCCCGAAACRTCAGGAGAGAATGCTTGTAGAACATAGCCATACAGTCTGAAAAACCTACAACAACCCAATGGGACTTTCTCTTGATAGGTCTATGACAACAAACCAAGTTAAAGATAGCTGTTACAACTGAGTATTTATTCTACGAAGAGTTAATATTTAGGGGGAGGGGGGACTCGGGGTTTGTGGTTGCAAAATGTTTGAGTTGGAAATGACTCACTCTGGCTGTTAGGAGATGTATAAACTTGGGAAAGTGGGAGGGAGGGGATGGATGGATTGAGGGAACACAGAGAGGGCAGAGCAGAGCTTGAGCCAGAGAGAGAGAGAGAGAGGACAAGAGAGAAAGGAAGTGAGAAAGAAATCCAGAATTACTTGGCTTGAGTTTCAAAAAAGRGCTGTTTTTCTGCACAGCTCAGTGGAGTAGCCCAGGGTTTCCCTACAACAAGCTGCTGCTTCTCATTTTTGCCTTTGTACCCTTCAAAGAACCTGGAGATGGGGATGCTGTGGCAAATGCTGCTCTTACATGCCTGCGCTTTTGTCCTCTCTGCCAAAGGTGCTGCTCTCACCCGACTGGAAGAGAAAGAAGCCCTGGTATGTAGACCCCAGAATTCCCTGACATGAGAAACCGTGGACGAGTGGGACAGCATGTTCCCTGTCCTGACCTACATCCACAAGTTGTTGTTTTTTTTTTGCCAAGATTCAGTTCCATTTTTGTCTCATGCCTTTGTAGAGCTTTTAGCTTATTCCTGACTAGTCTTGCAAAGTTATGTTTAATGGACAATTCCCCAGCCCTGCTCCCAATGGGAATATTTCCATTTCCAAGAGAAAACTTAGTGTTCTGGGCATCCCCATAGATCCAGGATCCAAGCTGAATGTGGGGTTGGGTGGGCCATGACTTACAGAGAGATGGAAAAGGGAGCAACTTTATTGAGAAGGGCACACTGCCAATACTGTTGTAGGGTTGTTGTAGGTTTTTTGGGCTATATGGCCATGTTCTAGAAGCATTCTCTCCTGACATTTTGCCTGCATCTATGGAAAACATCCTCAGAGGTTGTGAGGTCACAGCCTCTGAGGATGCTTGCCATAGATGCAGGTGAAACATCAGGAGAGAATTCTTCTAGAACATGGCCATATAGCCCGAAAAACCTACAACAACCCAGTGATTCCAGCCATGAAAGCCTTCAACAATACAAATGCTGTTGTATTTGCAAGATGTGTGTCTATGGTGGAGAAGCAGCCTATATTGGATGTCCCACAGATGGATTCTATTTCTCTTCATAGTTATCTTGTTCCTTATACTCAACCAACTTTTATCACTGTTACTGAACCTAACTGAAGACCTACTTTTGCTCACTAGCATATGGAGAGGAGGAGGATTAGGTGGCTGAGAGACCACTGCCGGGGCTTTGGTTGAGAACTATTTGTATTTGGGCTTTCCTGGTCCACACCAGCCCAATGACCTCATTTGACTACATAACAACCCACACCGTTTTGTGAACCCTTGCTGGCTGTTGTAAACTAATGTGGATATTTAGTTTAGTTTATGTTGTTATATAATTTTGTCTGACTACACATAGTTTAATTTATTGCTGTTAGATTTAATTTACTGATGCTAGTCTTTAATTTGGTATTAGATTTTAATGTTATTTTCAAATGTGGTCTTTTTTTCTGGGATTTTATATCAGTGTTTGTTTGTTTTATGTAAGCACTGAATGTTTGCCATTGTATGTTGGAATCCACTCTGAGTTCTCTTGGGGAGATAGGGTGGAATACAAATAACGTTTAATTATGATTATTTTGCTGACTTAAAAACACAGTATTACACAGCAAATGAGAGATATATGCTGGATTTCGTATCACAAAATCACAAGTAGAACAATTTCCAAGGGTTTAGGACTGTGTGAATATTATTATTATTATTATTATTATTATTATTATTATTATTATTAGAAACACAACAAGATGAGTCCACAGCAAACAAGATCACTCTGCTGGCTGGATCACATGTCGGACACTTCCCAAGTGTCTAGGACTGCGTGATGTATCGGCAAATAATGCGTGCAGATCCCAGTAAGGTGGCTGTTTGCAGCTAGCAGATGGTAATCTTGTCAGCGCCAATTGTGTTTAAGTGCAGGCCAAGGTCTTTAGGCACTGCGCCAATACCACTGGTACCACCTTTACTGCCTTGTGCCAGAGTCTCTGCAGTTCGATCTTTAAATCCTCATATCATGTCAGCTTTTCTAGTTGTTTTTCTTCAATCCTGCTGTCACCTGGGATTGCAACATCGACAATATTATTATTATTATTATTATTATTATTATTATTATTATTATTATTATTATTATGTTTCTACCTCCCTCTCTTCCAATGGATATCAATTTGGACCACTCGTATTTTCCTGTGACTCTAGAGAAAGCTTTTAAAATCACTTTTTGGAGTAAAAAAAAATAATCACAGAATCATCTAGGCAGTATCTTTCTGGAGGATTCTGGGATCTGTGACCCACATTTTCTAAACATCTAAGCTCGGGATCCATCTGGGACGGTTTTGGGGCGAAGCATTGACCCTCTTTGCTAGCTTGGCAAGCCAGTTTGGGCACCAGGGAGGTCTTGACCAAATTTTGTGGGAAATACTAGTGGGAATTCTTGACAATTCTGTGTGGCCTCTCCCAGCATGGGCTGGCACACACAACCCTTTGATTTGTTGGGGCCTCCTTTCTTTTTTTTGCTGAGTTAGCAAGATAATGGTCAGAATATCCCACTAGGAAACCCTGGAATCTGAGAACAGCTTGCTATTATGCGTATGTGCTGGAGTGGAATGAGGCCTTCCTGGGAAGAAGGGTAGACTTGTTATTGGGAAAGTCTACTTTGTTTCAAGTTTTATCATGAAGTCGAGAATGTGGACAATGAGTACAAAGTCCTCAGCTTGGCTGTAGACCAGTTCAATCACCTTCTTCCTAGTAGGTCTCTATATGAATGAATGAATGAATGAATGAATGAATAGACAATATTCAAGAGAGAGAGAGCATTAGAGGAGAAACCGTGTTAAAACCCATCTATGTTTCCCCCTATGAATCACTGCGGAGATTAAGATCTTCTGGGGAGGCCCTGCTCTCGGTCCCACCACCATCACAGGCGCGTTTGGCGGGGACGAGAGACAGGGCCTTCTCAGTAATTGCCCCTCGGCTATGGAACTCCCTTCCTAATGAGATCAGGTCAGCCCCTTCCCTCTTGTCCTTTAGAAGATGATAAAAACATGGCTGTGGGACCGAGCCTTTGGGACTATGCAATGAGGCAACGATAGGAACCCTTAGTATGCCAACCAAATTCGATATGGTTGTTGAGACAGTTTTAACTGGATTTTAACGTCAAGATAAGTGATTTTAATGCTTTTGTATGTGTATGGTCTAATATGTTTCGGCATTGAATGTTTGCCGTTTATATGTTGTGCTCCGCCCTGAGTCCCCTTCGGGGTGAGAAGGGTGGAATATAAATGCTTTAAATAATAATAATGATGATGATGATGATGATGATGATGATGATGATGTTTACTGCCACCTAGAGGTTGGCGGTTTGAATCTGGGGAGCGGGGGGAGCTCCTGATGTTAGGCCCAGCTTCTGCCAACCTAGCAGTTCGAAAACATTCAAATGTGGGTAGATCAATGGGTACCGCTTCTGCAGGAAGGTAACAGCGCTCCATGCAGTCATGCTAGCCACGTGACCTTGGAGGTGTCTACGGACAATGCTGGCTCTTCAGCTTAGAAATGGAGATGAGCACTACGCTACAGAATCAGACACGAGAAGACTTAATGCCAAGGGAAACCTTTACCTTTACCTTTCGAGGTAGAGCGCACCCACAAGAGCAGTCATATCTTTGGGACCACATGCCAATGAACTGTATCATGGAATGCAGATAAGATGAACAGAGTGTTTTAGGCGTTCATATATTTCTCTCTGTAGGATTATTTGCTGCAGTTTGGATACTTACAGAAGCCACTGGAACAGTTCTCAAATAACTTCACGGAAGAAGAGATTGAGGAAGCTTTGAGGTAAAGTGAAAGAAGCACATGACTCATCTTTTAAAAAAGAAAACATTATAAAGACTTCAATTTTCCCCATCAATAGTTTTCAATTATGCGTAGCTTGGAAAGCAATTGCCTTGGTATAGCACTGTCCTCTTGACCGCCTCCCTTCTGCTTCTGCAGGTCCTTCCAGCTTGCATCAGGATTGCCTGCCACCGGGCGGGTGGATGTGGCAACCCTCTCCCAAATGCGGCAGCCCCGTTGTGGTGTGGAAGACCCGTTCAATGAGAGAACCCTCAAGTATCTGCTCTTGGGTGAGTATGGCTCAAACTATTCAGTGGATCGAGGCAAAGCAGAGACAGCTGGTGGGAGAACGTTCTCTTGGCACAAGGACAGATGCCTGGGTTTTGGTGTTAAGTTTCTGAGTTGCAGAAAATGAAGTTGAGTTGTCTTTAGATGTACAGGTTATAGTTAAGGATTGTTCAGCTTGAACTATTTGTAACAAATATCATAGTAATTTGAGTTCTTCTTATCAGGTGTACAATTGACAGCCATTTACATTCTTTAGCAGTGATTATCTTTCTGTTGCTAAATATGGCACCGTGCTTGCACGAGGGGTAGGAAATATCAACAGTTTTGGCGGAAACTCGTGTTTTACATAAATAATTTTTTAAAACCCTCAGGGGGATATAGATAGGTACTCATACCAGAAGAGCCTAATGAGAACTGTACAGAAATAAAAAAATCAGGATGAATGGGTGCAGAGGGGATGAACAGAATACCAAATAGAAGCCGAGAGCAAATAGACCGAGAGCAGGGCCTTCCCAGTAGATCTTAAACTACGAGGTGCAATGTAGAGGGAGATACATTCAGATAAGTAAGCTGGGCCATTAACATGATATAATGTTAATCATAGAATCATAGAGTTGAAAGAGACCTCATGGGCCATCCAATCTAACCCCCTGTTAAGAAGCAGGAAAATAGCATTCAAAGCACTGCTGACAGATGGCCATCCAGCCTCTGCTTAAAAGCCTCCAAAGAAGAAGCTGCCACCACACTCTGGGGCAGAGAGTTCCACTGCTGAACAGCTCTCACAGTCAGGAAGTTCTTCCTCATGTTCAAGTGGAATCTCCTTTCCTGTAGTTTGAAGCCACTGTTCCACGTCCTAGTCTCCAGGGCAGCAGAAAACAAGCTTGATCCCTTCTCCCTATTTCTTCCCCTCACATATTTATACATGCCCATCATCATGTCTCCTCTCAGCCTTCTCTTCTGTAGGCTAAACATGTCTGGCTCTTTAAGCCCCTTCTCATAGGGCTTGTTCTCCAGATGCTTGATCATTTTAGTCACCTTCCTCTGGACACTTTCCAGCTTGTCAATATCTCTCTTCAATTATGGTGCCCAGAATTGGACAAAATATTCCATATCAAACAGAAGCACATTATGATGTAATGTTAATCATAGAATCAAAGAGTTGGACGAGACCTTGTGGGCCATCCAGTCCAACCCCTTTCCAAGAAGCAGGAAAATTGCATTCAAAGAACTGCCGACAGATGGCCACCCAGCCTCTGTTTAAAAGCCTCCAAAGAAGGAGCCTCCACGACACTCCGGGACAGAGAGTTCCGCTGCTGAACAGCTCTCCTTACATGTTCAGGTGGAATTTTGTTTCCTGTAGTTTGAAGCCATTTTTCCACGTCCTAGTATCCAGGGCAGCCGAAAACAAGCCTGCTCCCTCCTCCCTATGATTTCCCCTCACATATTTATACATGTCCATCATCATGTCGCCTCTCAGCCTTCTCTTCTTCAGGCTAAACATGCCCAGCTCTTTAGGCTGCTCCTCATAGGTCTTGTTCTCCAGGCCCTTGATCATTTTAGTTACCCTCTTCTGGATACATTCCAGCTTGTCAATATCTCTCTTGGATTGTGGTACCCAGAACTGGACACAATATTCCAGGCAAAATAGAGGGGTAGCATGACTTCCCTGGATCTAGTCACTAGACTCCTATTGATGCAGGCCAAAATCCCATTGGCTTTTTTGCCACCACATGACGTTGTTAGCTCATATTTAACTTGTTGTCCACGAGGACTCCAAGATCTTTTTCACACATACTGCTGTCAAGCCAGGCATCGTCCCCCTTTCTGTATCTTTGCATTTCATTTTTTCTGCTTGTTTGTTGTTCTATTGTTTGTTGCAAGCAGCCCACTTGTAATTTCACTGTTGTTTTTGATAGATAGCATCCTGGTCATCTTTATTAGAACCCTGTGGTGACAAACTCGACAACACATTGTTTGGGATTCTTTCCATTTTGTTTGCTCAGGATAACAATGAAGAGCGGAGCCATAAACCTCAGTTCAGTCTGGAGTTCCTTGATCACTTATCTGGAAGTAACCATCACTTACTTCTGAGTAAACTCATTTAGAATGTGCTGTTAGTTTACCACAGAGCTTCTATTTGTGTTCAGTTCTCACTTCTGCCCATGCACAGAGACAGGAGTTTCTCAGTTTGGAGGAAGTCAGAAAGAGTTATAGAGGAGATATTTGCTATTTCATATCTTATTCAGTGCTAAGAATGTGAAAAACTGGCTGTATGCCATTCATGATGTTGCCACAGCTTTGGAATGTTTTCCTTTGCTCTCTTTTGGCAAAAGGGGAAAAAATCTCACACTCATTTTGGAGACCAACATTTGGATCCCTGCTCAGCAATGAAAACCCATTGTATGACCTTCGCCGAGTATACTCCCAGCCTCAGTTGAAGACAATTGCAAACCTCTTCTGAACCTTTTTTGCCAAGGTCATAAATTATTTGAAGGCATGCAATAACAACACTATTTTAATTAGTTTTGACTTTCAAAATCACATGCTGTATTTCAATTGTATTGATGCCAATTAGTTTATTTTGTATTTTCAAAAGTTCTTCAGATCTTGAGTTCTTTTCAGACAGACAGGTAGCTGATAATTTCTGAAATAAAACAAAGGATTGATTCAGTTTCATAAATGGGAAGCTGTAGTGGTTTACTAAAAGTAGTGGTTTACTTAGAGTACTGTTCTTGGCTAGGTGTAATAATCCCTAAACAGTTCTTGCTCCTGGGCTGCAAGAATCAGGCGTTCTGTCTTCTCCTTCTTCAGGGTTCCATTCATGAGCCATAACCAGGTCTTCTCCTTATCAACATTTCCTTCAATTTTGTCAGGGAACTGCCCATGCAATGTTTTGTATTATTATTATTTCTTCAAACTTTAAGGTTCCCTGTATTCTGCCAGTCGCTGACTCCTCTTGCTCTCTCCTTCTTCCTCCTCCTGCAGGTCGCTGGCGCAAGAGGCACTTGACTTATCGACTCAACAGCCACAGTGAGGATATGGGGTCTGTGGCCACCCGCAATGCCATCAAAACCGCTTTCAAGTATTGGAGCGATGTGACGCGGCTCACTTTCCAGGAGGTGCGGACTGGCCGAGCTGACATCCGCCTCGCTTTCCATGGTTCTTCTCCTTGGGGCTGCTCACGGCCTTTCGATGGTCCCGGTATGAACCCAAGCTTTGCTGCAAGGGGAACAATTTGGGACTCTGAAGGCCTGCCTGAAGTGGTACCTAAAGGAGGACAGGGACCTAGAGGCAGGCTGAGTCTGCCAGGGATGCCACTGCACCACCTGGATGGAGCAGCTGCTTGAGAGGTGCTTTAGGCGGCAGATGGTGCAGTCCAAACAGGAGGAATTCAGTGGTAAAAGGGTCACGTTTAAGATGAGTTCTGGGCCTCACATGACTCAGGGTGGAGCTACTTAAATGAAGTGGGCTTTCCATTGCCAAGTGGGGAGTTTGGGCCCAAAATAATTGATTCAGACTTGGTTGTTATTTCCTATTGCAAAGTGCTTCACAAAGAAAAGGATGCATTCTGGTTAAGACTCACTCAGCATAGTCTGTAATTACATGTCCATTGAGAGCACAGGGATTATAATAGGTTTTTTAGGCAGTAGATGGTGCAATTGAACAGTTTACATGATCTGACACCTTCTGATTCTTGTGAAAATGAACTTTTCAGCACAGAAGTCCACATAAAAGAGTCAGAGTAAAGCCCTCTCCTTGAAATGCTCCCATATGCTCTTAATAGCAGAAAGAGGGTCTGTCTATTGACTACACTGGCATCTCTTAAACGTATACATTCGTTGAGCAAAGGCTTTCCTGCCCATTGCAACCACCTGGCCTTCCAAGAGTAATGCTGGATCTGGGAGTAAATCTGCTATGAAAGATTAGGCTGAGGGAGATGCCAATTGCCAGTCCAGGTGGAAATTGTGCCTGCAGTAACATTCCCTGTCCTCACTACCCTTTTGTGACTAGTGTGATGGTGCCTTCATGCATGGTGCCTTAGTTACATGAAAAAGGGAGGGCTGGGCAAGTGAATTCACCTCTTTATACAAATGTTATAGCAAAAGCAAGTGGCTTTAATTTATATTTTTTAAGAAAAAGGTTCAGTTTTGTAGAATCACACAGAATGAGTTGTTATCCTGGTTAAATTGAATTGATTTAGTTGATTTAGAGACAAACAAATTGTTAAAATGTTTTATGTGTTCATGCAAAAAATATATAGAATGTATATGCATGTAATTAGAGCTTGATAATACTATTTTTGAGAGTACAACTGCCAGATGTAACCAACCAGCCAACCAACCAGCCAGGCCACTGAAGGTTTTGTAATATTATGTATGTATGCCTGGTGGTGCAGCAGGTTAAACCATTAAGCTTCTGAACTTGTTGGCCAAAAGGTTGGCAGTTTGAATCTGGGGAGTGGGGTGAGCTCCCGCTGTTAGCCCCAGCTTCCGCCAACATAGCAGTTAGAAAACATGCAAATTTGAGTAGATCAATAGGTACTGCTCCAGTGGGAAGGTAACGGTGCTCCATGCAGTCATGCTGGCCGCATGACCTTGGAAGTGTATATGGACAACACCAGCTCCTTGGTTTAGAAAATGAGATGAGCACTACCCTCTAGAGTTGGATACGACTAGACTTAATGTCAAGGAGAAACCTTTACCTTTACCTTATGCAGAGAGCTGAGCAAACTTAACCTGAATTGTTGAAAGGCAAGTGCTTGGAAGACACCATGCCAAAATGAAAGGGCGTGTTAAAAATGCAAAGATGTGCTATTGCAAAGAGCCAGACTTGTATTTAGGACAAGGTTTCACCCTAGCTAATCTGCCTTGCAAATCTCTGATCTATGTCCCTTTATCTCCCACAGGACATGTCTTGGCTCATGCTGACATCCCTGAATTAGGCACAGTGCATTTTGATTCAGCTGAACACTGGACAGAAGGAACACCACGGGGCGTCAACTTGCGCATCATTGCTGCACATGAGATTGGCCATGCGCTGGGTCTGGGTCACTCCCGACACCCAACAGCCCTGATGGCACCCTCCTACAGTGGCTACCGGCCCCGCTTCCGTTTGCATCATGATGATATCGAAGGCATCCAGGCCTTGTATGGTATGTACTAGGTCAGGGTAGCCTTCCATATTGTGCATGACAAGTAAAGATGTGGGTTTCAACAACAGGATCTGCTGCTCTTGCATTCATTTTTGCCCTCCAATTTCCTTCCTGACAAATCTTAGCTGTTCGATTTTCTTCTAAAATAAGGAGTTCTTGCATGGCGAGGGGGGCAGTATAGGACCAAATGAGAAAAGCCCCTGCCCAGGTCTGCCATGTATCTGACATACATTACAGATAAAGTACTATATCTGGATAAAAAGCCTTTTGAGTCTTCCCAAGTGTAAGTGAGGGTTTTGATTTTTTAATATTTTGTCACTTGTATCCATGGGGCCACAGTGGAGCAGCGGGTTAAACCACTGAGCTGCGGAAATTGCAGACTGGAAGGTCGGCAGTTTGAATCCACGAGACGGAGTGAGCTCCCATCATTAGCCCCAGCTTCTGCCAACCTAACAATTTGAAAATATGCAAATGTGAGTAGATCAATAGTACTGCTCTGGCAGGAGGGTAACGACGCTCCATGCAGTCATGCTGGCCATATGACCTTGGAGGTGTCTATGGACAATGCTGGCTCTCCAGCTTAGAAGTAGAGATGAGCACCACACCCCAGTTGGACATGATTAGACATAATGTCAAGGGGAAACCTTTACCTTTACTTATATCTTAATTTTGTAAACCACTCAAAAATGTATGGACAGTTTCTATAAATAAGGTAAATCACAGTTACAGTAAGTTTTTCTATTGAGGATCATAAGGCACACTGACTGCATGAGGTCCACAAGACTGTTTTATCATCCTAGTCCACCTTTTTCCACAAAAATGAGCATAGTAGACAGCCTGAATCCACCAGAAGAGCACAGTTTGCTTCTTAAAAAAAACCTCTGCTTTGTTTTACCCAAACTTTTTAAGAAAGCTCTGGAAGGATTGTTGCAATTTGCAGTGGTCATGGAAAACAGACCCTCCAGAGTTGCTCCGCTCTCATTTAAATTAATCCTAGGAAAATATGAGTTGCAGGCTCATTATTATTCCTGCATTGTACATTTTTAAATTCACCATGATTACAAACCTGTCTTTGGTTCACTTTCTTTGTACAAGGAAGTTGTTAAGAGTCTATAGGGAAGATTCAGAATCCTCACAGCAACTTATGTGATCATCCTTCCCTTTTCAAAAAAGGAGTTTTTTGACTTTTCTGTGACATGCCTCATGCTTTGCCTGCTTCGTGCTCTCCTCTGGCTTGTGTATAGCCTAGCAACAGGGGAGAAGTCTGTTTCCCATTATAAGCAACATGGGCCTGTGCCAGTGGTTTTCAAATCATGAGGCGAGAGCCAGCTCTGCAGGAAAAGCAACAGCAAGGCTGGCGTTTCTTTTCTTGATGACTTCCTGGATGGGGTTCTGGCTGGGCTGGGAGGGAGAATGCCAGCACATTGGTACAGTACAAGATCCATGGTTTGCCAGCTCTACTGGCCAAATTTTCCCTTGCTCTGCCTCATCACAATTATTTTTCCTGTCCCTGTGGTTTTTCTAACAGGCTCTGCCCATTACTAATCCCTCTTCTTCCTTGCAGGCAAAAAGACTCTGTCAACTACAGCAGTAGTGACCTCTCCTGCCCGTACTACCGTCCCTACAGTCTCTGTGAAGCCTAGTAAAGTCCCTAACCCATGCAAAGATGGGCTGGACGCCATCATGCTGGGTAAGTCTCTTCTCTGTTCCCTGATGTCCGGATACAAACAACTGCCAGGGAATGTGCAGAAAGCAGAGACAGAACATAGTCCATCCAGCCTAGGTTTGCACAAAATGAATGTCTTCTCCATATTCCATTTTTTAACTATATGTCTACCATTTTGACACCTAAATATCAGCAGGTAAGACTGATGAGAAGTAGGACCAATGGCAGGACAAATGGTAGATGCAGGCTGGAACTGCCAGTTCTTCCTGAGTTGCAAAATGTACAAAGGATTGTGAGGAAAGGATGCTGCCCATCTGATAAGGAGCTAGAGGGATAGAGAAGAGACAATGCATTCAGACAGGGTTATAAAAGTGGCCAAAAAGTTGCAGACACACCAAATTTGGGGGGGGGGGGGATAGCCAGTACTCCAGAAGGCAGGATCAGAATTAAAAATGATCTTAACAGATTAGAGAAAAGGGCCAAAACTACAAAATGAAGTTCAACAATGACAAATGCGAGATGCTCGGGCAGAAAAAAAGAAATGCAAAGATACAGAATGGGGGATGCGTGGCTCGAGAGCAGTACGTGTGAAAAAGATCTTGGGAGTCCTGGTGGACAACAAGTTTAACAAGAGCCAACAATGTGATGTGGCGGCAAAAAAAGCCAATGGGATTTTGGCCTGCATCAATAGGAGTATAGTGTCTAGATCCAGGGAAGTCATGCTACCCCTCTATTCTGCTTTGGTAAGCCACACCTGGAATATTGTGTCCAATTCTGGGCACCGCAATTGAAGAGAGATATTGACAAGCTGGAATGTGTCCAGAGGAGGGTGACTAAAATGATCAAGGGTCTAGAGAACAAGCCCTATGAGGAGCGGCTTAAGGAGCTGGGCATGTTTAGCCTGCAGAAGAGAAGAATGAGAGGAGACACAATGAGGGCCATGTATAAAGGGGATGTCACAGTGAGGAGGAAGCAAGCTTGTTTTCTGCTTCCTTGGAGATTAGGACACGGAACAATGGCTTCAAATCACAGGAAAGGAGATTCCACCTGAACATTAGGAAGAGCTTCCTGACTGTGAGACTTGTTCAGCAGTGGAACTTTCTGCCCCAGAGTGTGGTAGAGGCCCCTTCTTTGGAGGCTTTTAAACAGAGGTTGGATGACCGTTTTTTGGGTGCTTTGAATGCAATTTTCCTGCTTCTTGGCAGGGGATTGGACTGGATGGCCCAGGAGGTCTCTTCCAACTCTATGATTCTATGATTATATATATGTGGGAGAAAGTGTATCCTTATGTGCTGCTAGGATAGTAATTTAATAGTCTACCATGGGATAATATTCTTATATATTAGAATATAAACGTCTATAAATTTGAATATCAGTCATGAATTTTAATAGTTTTATTCACTTTTTCATAATATAATTGTAAAGTAATTCTTCAATACTGCATTCCTTTTACGAACAGAAGAGCTAGTGATGTATTCAGCACAGTTCGTTCCCAAAATTTGCTCCACCAGATGTTTTAGACTTCAATTCCTGTTGGCCAAATTGGCTAGGGGATACGGGAGCTAAAGTCCAAAATACTTGGAAAACCAAGATTTGGGAAACACAGGCTAGCAAATCTGTGAGTTAGAACTTGAGTTCTGCTACAGGGTAGGCATAAGTCAACTTTCTGTGTGTATCTTTCAGTTGTAACTTCTTTTTTTCTCACACCTTGACTAGGACCGTATGACAAGACCTATGCTTTCCGTGGGGATTATGTGTGGACAGTGACAGACTTTGGGACAAACCCACCACTGAAGATCTCAGCCTTGTGGAAGGGGCTGCCAGGGTGGCTGGATGCGGCTGTGCATTCGCCTCGCACTGGGCGGACTTACTTCTTCAAAGGTTTGTGGGCTCAGTTTGTGAGAAAGAAGCAAGACTACTTTTCTGAATTATTTAATTCAGTTTCAAACGAGTTTTTAATTTTAGAAAATCCCCATTAAAGCTTCCTTTCCAACTTTTGAGATCCTTCTTACGAGATTTCTTTACATCAGGCTTGGCAAACTTAGGCCCTCCAGATGTTTTGGACTGCAGCTCCCACAATTCCTAATCGCCTCAGGCACCTTCCTTTTCCCACTCAGCCGGTTAAAGGAAAGGGCCCGAGGCTGTCCAGAATTGTGGGAATTGCACTCCAAAACCCCTGAAGAGCCAAAGGGCCAAAGTTTGCCCATGCCTACTTTATATCAAGCCTGAAAATGCAGCAAAATAGAAGTCACATCGCTTCTGACACTGGTTGTATTAACTACTAATAATGGGTTACTACTTGACTTTGCTTTGGCCAGTTTTTTAATTCTGTGTTTATGTCATTCTGGCTCCAGGTAGTAAATTATGGCGTTATCAAGGCTTCAAGCTGGACCGTGGCTACCCCAAACCCCTCACTCGTATCCCAGCAAAGATAGATGCTGCTCTCTATTGGCCAGGAAATAAGAAGGTCTTCATCTTTAAGGTAAACAGGATGGCTGAGATAAAAAAGTAGTTGTTGTAGTTAATCCTGGCGGTTAAAAACTATTGTATATAATTAAATTAGGAATATTAAAGCAAATGGATTCCCCAAAAGGAGAATGCCTTAAAAATGATGATGTGGGGTTGGTTACAGTGAGGAGAACATCTCTATATCTTCTGTTACTTCCTGTGTTTAATTACAGTCATTCCTATATACTGATTTTCTTATATTTGTGGGAAAGGGAGGAGTTTTACTAGCTCAGAACACTGTGGACATTTTTGAAGGGACCTAAAGAGCACACAGCAGATGTGTTCATGATACTGAACTTGATAGATTGACGATATTTTTGAGAATGCAGAGCTGGACTCAAATGCAACGAACTCTCCTGTTTCAATTCAGTGGCTCCCTGTGCCTACTGATGGCAAAAGGGGGTGGTTCAGGGACTTTAGTGCCCAAAGGGAATGGAAAGTCAAATGGGCTATTGATTGGTTTTAAACTGTCAAGTTTTCCATTCTGTTTTTCAAACACGCTTTTCTACATGTCAGTAAACATATTCAAAATAGAAGTCTGAGTGCAGTGGTTCTCAGGATACCTGCGTGGAGGAAGGACCAGCTATGATTGTTTTCCAGTGTGCTGGAGATCAGCATTAAACATGCACTCATTTAGGAGAATTGTTTCTCTCTCCTGGAAACTTGCCATGGGCCGCAACTGGCCACTTTTTTAGTAGGTAAAGGTAAAGGTTTTCCCCGAGATTAAGTCTAATTGAGTCTGACTCTGGGGGTTGGTGCTCATGTCCATTTCTAAGCCAAAGAACTGGCGTTGTCCGTAGACACCTCCAAGGTAATGTGGACGTCATGACTGCATGGAGCGCTGTTACCTTCCCATCGGAGCAATATCTATTGATCTACTCACATTTGCATGTTTTCGAACTGTTAGGTTGGCAGGAGCTGGGGCTAACATTGGGCACTCACCCCGCTCCCTAGATTTGAACTACCAACCTTTCAGTCAGCAAATTTAGCAGCTCAGCGCTTTAACCCACTGCGCCACAGGGGGCTCCTACTTTTTAGTAGTTCAGTCTTAATATAAGTTCTGAGAAATTCAACATTTATGCATCCTGTTGTGTTGAAATATGTCTTTTAATTGTCAAATTTCACAATGAATGTTAGTGCGCTCATCTTTTTTTGTGATTGTTGAGACACTAGAGGATTCCTTGCAAATGCCTTACCTCCTACACAATCTCTCCTCTTAGGGCACTGGCTTCTGGCAGTGGGATGAACTGGGGACCCATTTCACCTCCCTCCCCAGGAAGATCTCCAGCCTTTTCACCGGAGCCCCAACCCACCTGGATGCTGCATTCACCTGGGAGAACGGCAAGGTCTACTTTTTCAAAGGGCAGAGCTACTGGAGGCTCAATGACCAACTACGGGTTGAGAGAGGTTACCCACTGAGTACACCTGAGCGCTGGATGCATTGCTAACACTGAGAAGGATTGTCCTTGCTTGCTCCCCAGAAGGAGCTGGCATCCCATTTCTCAGAGACTCAGCAGATTTTTCTTTATGGACCCAACAGCGACACCTAGTGGCGACAGACCAAAACAACTCTTCTGGAAAAAAGGACCAAGTGGGGGTGGGTGGGAATAAATACAATGGACAGCTTGCAGTTCTCTTGTTCTGAACTTTGATCTTTCAGTGCCAGATTTCATCAACAATCATGTTTGCTTTGGCATCAGTATGAGTGACAGAAAGGGCTAGTCCAGTCTCAGGGTGTAGGAAGTCCAGGAGAAAGAAGAGATGGCATGTGGATGGTGGAGACTGAGTACAAATCCACATTAATCTGGCAAGTCAGCAATACAGTTTTAAGAATGGGTATATTTTTTTAGAGAACGGAAGCAGATATGCCAGAACTATTCTTATTCTTATCTGCGGGGCACATAGTCATTTACTATTGTGCCTGGAGAAAGAATTCACTTTGCCTTTTATTTTTACAAGTAGAAGGGCTAGATTTCTTATTTAAGGCCACAATGTCATGGGAAATACATGTTGGGGTGGGGTTGGGCATGTTCTTTATGACATACATACAAACCACCTTTGTGATTGCTAGCCAAAACCCCGATGGTTCATACTGTGTTCAGTGTTTACCAGTCATTATATGGTCTTGTGGATCTAACACAGATGTGGGCAAACTTCAGGCCTCCAGGTGTTTTGGACTTCAACTCCCACAATTCCTAACAGCCGATAGGCTGTTAGAAATTGTGGGAGCTGAAGTCCAAAACACCTGGAGGCCTGAAGTTTGCCCATGCCTAATCTAGCAGAATGAGAAGACTTTTAATTCAGAAGGCCTGAATGTATACAACTGGCTATTCACAGCAGTTGCATCACATGTACTCAGTCCAGAATTAAAATAATAAGGCATATGAAGGCAAACAGTAATTCTTTTTTACCTGTAAGACAATAAATTGCAACAGACCTGCTGGAAGAAAGATGGAATTGGCTATTTCTTTCTCAGAAGGAAGGTGGAGATCAGATTTCAATTTCTGCAATATTATTTTGGCTGCCAATTCCCAATGTTTCATGAGGCAGTAGCCCAATGATAAGGGCCCATTATCAGTATCTGCATCTGCTTTCTTATATCTTGATAGCAATCACCTTGGACACTTGCTGTGGTAGTGAAGGTCCCATTTCCAACCTGCATAGCTTCAACTTTCCAGTAGCTCAGGTTGTATCCACACACCTAAAACGCATGAACAGTCGGACTTTTCCCATGTGGAACCAGTTCAACTTTCAAATGTTATACAAGAGCTGAGGAATCTGTGACCCAAAAAACAACATAGGACTTGATTTCCCAGCAATCCCAGACCCCCCGCAAGCAATATTAAAGATTAGTGGGAATAATATCTCACATATGTATGTTGATAGATCCATTCCTTTGGCTAGAACGGCTTGATCAGAGTGGCTTAATTCCAGACTATTGCCACACCGAGAATATTTTTAAATAACACTATGTAACAAAATTTGAAAAAATATCCTGGTTTGAAAGTGTTATTTTTTGTTTAATTGTGTGGCACTTGCTTTGAAAGTAGTTATTCTCTAGAAATGTAATTTTTGTGGCTGCTGAATTGTTGAATTGGTTGAGACTCTGAGATACTCATTGAAAAACTATAGCAAAATGTGCTGCAGGATGTCCCGCAAAGCTAAAGTGTTTGCAGTTTAATACACTTTTTCCATATTTTTTATGACAGAACCAATTAGGAAATATTTATAACCCAGGAACAAAAATCATGTTACATAGTGTAACTGATCTCTTTTTTGGCTTCTGGGTCCAGTGGGTTCGATTCCCTTTGTGTCTTTGAAAAGTTAGACAATCACAAGATTACAAAGTGTGCAAAGCAAAGGGGGCAAACATGGTGTGACTGCCATAGTCAGGAGAGCATGCTTCCAGGTCAACACATCTCTAGAACCGTTCCTCATGCCATCCAACTGTGTACATGTACATAGCAACCATGGCCACAATCTCAGAGGCTTCTCCTTCAAAATATAATCAGAATTGGGGGGAGGGGGCATTGATAGTTGAAAGGTCAGGGGAAAGGAACAAGGTCATATCCAGGTGTAGCCTCAACCCACCGTAGAATGGCTGTTGAGCACACTTGCTCCTGTTTGTAGACCTGGGTTCCATTGCACTGGTATGTATGCCTAGATTAGTGGTTCTCAACCTGTGAGTCCCAAGATGTTTTGGCCTTCAACTCCCAGAAATCCAAGCTGGTAAATTGGCTGGGGTGGGGAGGGTGGGGGAAAGGCCGAAAAGAACACAGAGTTTGAGAAAATCCCATTCTGGAAATCTTTTGCAGAATAGGAGAGAGATCTTCCACAGCTGCACTTAAAAAGGAGGCGGTATAACGCACTTTTAAGATACTGTGGAGCATGGAATGTCACTTATTGGGATAGTTAGCTAATGGGTAAGCATACAGTCTATACCAGGCTTGGGCAAACTTGAGCCCTCCAGGTGTTGGACTTCAACTCCCACCATTCCTAAGAGTCCCAGGCCCTTTCCTTTCTCCCCCCGCCCCCCCCCCAGCCACTTATATAATGCTGTTGTGAAATGTGATAGGGAAGCCATACATTTCCAGCTTCAAATTTAACAAGAGGCCATTTTTATTTGTAGTGCTATAAGAAAAAAAACTTGGCAAAACTGAGATGATTTCTAATTTACCTCTAGCTGGCAACTGTTGATCTCCTTTTTAGTTTTAGAAAACCCACTGGACACCAGAGCCTCTTTCATGTTACTATATCTACCTGAATCTAATGCTTGCCTTTTTTTTGGCTAAATTGCCTCGCTAAAATTGAGGTGCCCATTAGATGGTACAATAGACTTGAGTAAATAACAGTATTTCCATTGCAGCTTCAGACAGATAATTCTTGGCACTTGCCCACATGAAAGATTTCTTACGCTTGCTCACTCTCATGCATGCATGCACACACACTCCATCTTCCTCTCATTCACGCTCCTCTACCAGCAGCTGTGTACAGATCCCTTTAAAGGCCTGGAGATAAAAGTTTGCAAGTGTTGAAGGAGACAGCATTAGCTGCTCAAATAAAAGGAGCTTAGGGGCAAAGCTGAACACAGACTCTAGCATTTTCAAAGACAGGAGAGGAAGGAGTACTGTTGCCTAAATCCTCATGCCCTTTCACCATTTGTTCTTTAAAGAACAGTAGCTGGAACAGAAGGGTGGGCAAACGTATTATCTCTGTGCTCTGGCCCTGTGGCAGGACCCATCAACACTGTTGCCTCTTCTACGTCCCTGATTTACCTATCACTAAATACCTATCCCCGGACCCCTTCCACATAGCTGAATAAAATCTCCCATTATTTGCTTCGAACCGGGATATATGGCAATGTGGACTCAGATAACCCAGTTCGAAGCTGATATTCTGGGATTTTCTGCCTTGATCTTCCGGTTTATATGGCTGTGTGGAAGGGCCCTGGGAAGCCATTTATTATAATGGCCCAATGCATAGGCTTGTGGAAAATTTAATTGACTACATGCTGTAACAAAGTGGGGGAATGTGTCCCTCTCCAGATATTTTGGGTGGCTGTAGTTCCCTTCCAAGTGGATAGCTACACATTTTCCAACCTGCTGTTCAGCAAGTTTCTGGTACATCGCTATAGGAAGAACAGCTGCCAGAAGCAACTTTGTCAAGACCACCCCTTCCCTCACCTGCCATCTATATTAACAGACAGACAAACTCTGAGGATGCTTGCCATAGATGCAGGCGAAACGTCAGGAGAGAATGCCTCTAGAACATGGCCATATAGCAAAAAAAAAAAAAACCCCTACAAGAACCCAGACAGACCATTGTTTGTGCATGTATGTACACAAGATATCTTTGACTCCCTTTTCCCTGCCCCAATCCATAAAAGGATATACAACATGACAACCCTTAGACCAGGGGTCGGCACAGTAAGACCTGCAGGCTGAATGCAGTCCTCCAAGGTAATTTATCCAGCTACCACCCTAAACTTTAGAATTAGAGTCACCCTGAGTGTGAAACAACTTCAAGGCACACAACAACAATCCCAATTAACTTGACACTCTCATCAACCAAAAGCAGGCTCACACCTCCCATTGAAATACTGGTAAGTTTGTGTTGGTTAATTTTTTTCTTCATTTTAAATATTGTATTGGTCTTTCAGGTTTTTTTTTTGCACTCCAAATAAGATGTGTGCTGTGTGCAGTGGAATTAATTCGTGTTTTTTTTTTTCAAATTATAGTCTAGCCTGGCCACCCAACAGTCTGTGGGGCCATGAACTGGCCCTCAGCTTAAAAAAATAGACTTTAACTTTTTTATCATGTCAGAAGCAACTTGAGAAACTGCAAGTCGCTTCTAGTGTGAGAGAATTGCCCATCTGCAAGGATGCTGCCCAGGGGACGCCCGGATGTATGATTATCCTGTGGGAGGCTCTCTCATGTTCCCACATGGGAAGCTGGGGATGACAGATGGGAGCTCACCTGTCTCGTGGATTCGAACCGCCAGCCTTCAGGTCAGCAGTTCAGCTGGCACAAGGGTTTAACCCAGTGCACCACCACGGCTCCTATCTTACGCTGTTCCTAAAATACGATGGTTGAATGAAAAATAATGCCTCCACCTTCGTTACTTGGGTTTGGATGGGAATATTTTAATAAATCAAACACAGAAATAATCCTTAGAGTGTGCTCTTTAACTATCACTATTCACTTTTCCACATAACCACCAGACAATTGGATACATTTCTACCAATGATGAACAAGTTTTCATGGAAGAATTCGACACTCTGTTTCCACAACAAGTGTCTCACAGTTCTCTCAACGTCTTCATCAGAAGCATAATGATGTCCCCGCAGATCTTCTTTCATTATCGGGAACAGATGGAAGACAGATGCTGCTAAATCGGGACTGTATGGAGGATGTCATACGGTGGTGAGATTCAGTCTCTGAAATTTCAAGTCTGTGCGCTTTCATTTGAGGCATCAGCATCCTGGGTACCCATTGTACACAGATCTTCCAATAGCCAAGCAAAGCAATAATGTGACCCACACGTTCTTGTGAAATGCCAGTTATGCTTGAAATTTCTCTCCGAGTGATATGACGATCGTCCTGAATCAATCTGTCAACCTTTTGCTTGTGAAACTTGGTGGTTGCTATCACAGGACATCCAATTCTTTGTTTGTCATGCAAGTCAGATGTTTCCACCTCAACATCTTTAAACTTACTTGCCCAATGACACACATTACTCACATCAACACAATCACCATAAACAGCTTGTATTCTCTGGTGAATCTCCTTTGGGGTGACACCTTCTGCTGTCAAGAATTCAATGACTGCATGTTGCTTAAGTCACATTGACTGACCGTCTGCGCAGGGTTCCATACTTTGCCCTTTAACAACACAATTGTTCAATGCTAAGGCTTCCCGCCAAAATGGAACTGTAGAGGAGAGTCTACTGAACAAGCCAGTACCTGCCGCATACCAGTACTGCTATCTGTTGAGGAGTTACGAAGATGGAGGCATTACTTTTCATTCAACCCTCGTACATGTCTCTGATATGAATTTGCCTTGTCAGGAGCCACTAAAATATGAGGTTCTCAGACAGAGGACATGCTTTGTAGACAGAAGGTCCCAGTTTTAAAAAAAAGATGAGTTTGTTGAAAGAAGAAAAAGTAGTCCTTCTTGCGTAGCGACTGCCATTCAGAATAGGATATCCTGGCCTAGATGGACTATTGTTCTGGCTTGATTAAAAGCAACAACAAAACACCCATGTTCATACATTTTCTCACTTTGTAAGCTGAAAAAAAATCAGTAATGGCTGTTTCACAAAGTTCTCTGAAAGATACATTCCCTCCACACACCTCATCTTTTCCGTGTGACCCCACCATGTAAGAATGTATAAAAGAGCACAAAGCACAAAAAGACATCTGTGTTAAGTATTATAAACAGGAGTTACAAAACAGTAACAAAAACAATCCACAGGAAACAATCGGCTACATCAAAGAGATCTCTGAAACAGGATGCCAGTCTAGCATGTGCTCACCAAATTAATTTGACATTTGGGTAGATATCCTACAGGTAAACAGCTTGCACTTTAAAAATGCTTTATATCCTTATCTACATGTTCTTAAAAGCACCACTGTCAAGACTGAAACCCACATTGGTGCAGGTAAGGCTCTATATTGCTTAGAGAAGGCACACTGGACAGTTAGGGTACTATTTGGCATCACCCCTAACACCATTATAGTCACATGAAGGGATTGGGGGTTTGTGTGTGTGTGTATCAGGAGCGACAGAAGAAACTGCAAGTTGCTTCTGGTGTGAGAGAATTGGCCATCTGTAAGGATGTTGCCCAGGGGACCCCCGGATGTTTGATGTTTTACCATCCTTGTGGAAGGCTTCTCTCATGTCCCCGCATAGGGAGCTGGAGCTGACAGAGGGAGCTCAACCCGCTCTCCATGGATTTGAACCACTGACCTATTGGTCAGCAGTCCTGCCGGCACAAGGGTTTAACCCATGTGGATGAATGGGAGCCCCTCACTGGCCATAGGTTCAGTAGAAGGAAAACAGTTCCATAACATGGAGGGTGGGCTCCCTGTGTTATTTCAAAGCCTACACAATTCTCAAATCTGGAACTCAGTACGTTGTTTTTAAGAAATAAGGCATCCAGTGCAGCTTGCTCCAAAGTAAGATTTTTTTTAAAAGGGACATCAGGATGTTTTAAAAATATACAAATGCCCTCAAACCTAATAAACAACACTTTTAAGATTTAGTAAATATCACTTATTACATCCAAAATAGTCATGACACTACCCGTTGTTGTCTAATCTTTTAAAGGGGCAGGTGCTGATAACAAGTGGCCTAAACCCAGCAAGAATAGACTCACTGGCTAAATTGAACTCATGCAAGAGTTGCAAGCTCCCACTGGTTCACTGGGTCTTCCCTACTTGTATGTACACCACTGTTAGATGAAAAGCAATAGGCAACTTCATTACCACAGTATACTCAATGGATTGGTGGGGAATTTGCAGTCCTTTGTGTATCTGTGAATGGCCACTCCTGTCATCACTGATCAATAACCATGATGCTCAGGCTTGGTGCCAGTTAAAAAGTCCAAAATCTTCTGAAGGAGCATCATTTTCCACCCATCTTAATGGTTGGGCTTGGGCAACGACATGATGGAGAAGGTTGGCTTGAGGAGTTCTTACAGGTGACTATAATAGCATGAGGGGCAAAGACTTGCATTGAGGAATAATGTTACACAGCTTAAATTACTGGGGTAGAAAAAACAACTCCCTTCTTCACACAGGCAAGTCAAAATGCCTTAGGGCAGTGGTCTCAACCTGTGTTTTGGCCCACAATTCCCAGAAATCCCAACCATTTTACCAGCTGTTAGGATTTCTGTGAGTTGAAGGCCAAAACATCTGGGGACCCACAGGCTGAGAACCAATGCCTTCGGGAAAGGATGAACAAAGGGCTTTTTCACACAACTGTATGCTATGATTCCACTTTAACTACAACGGTTTCATCCTATGGATGCCTGGAATTGGTATTTGAGTGCAAGGGCTTTGGAGTTCCTCTCGTGCCTCTGACTAAAGTCCTAGGATGCCATAGGACGTGATCACAGGAGTGCTATACATGTGTAATATGGAAGGGCAGCATAATTGCCTTTACAACATACTGTCATATGGAATACATCCAAAGGCACGGCGTCAAAAAAGCACCATAGGTTGGAATAAATTTAACTCTAACCAAGTTGTAGCCTTGTTAAGAATTTCAAGTTACTTCCAAGTTGTTTTAACCCTGAGTAACTCACCTAGACCAAACCAAGTATCCAACATTTAGCTACTCTAGATTAGCTGCAACCTGAAACAAGTTACCTCTTCATTTGAAAAAGTGGGGCATGACTATGGCTTTTTTGAACTCACGCAAGTGGCAACAACTGAGCGTCAGGTAAGAACAGCCGCTCTAGTATGGCCCCAAATTCCAGCATAGTTTGCAAGGCAGCTCCAGATACCCCACAGAGGAAGGTGGCACCCTTCCTGAACTTAAATGGAAATAAATTATTATTTTTTAAACATCTCTTCCTTCCCACGATGTCGACTCAGTCACGTGTGGTAGCCTCAAGCCCTGTCTGTCAAGAGGAGGAGGGAAATGGAGCACTTTTTTGTCCATTAGAAAAAGGAATTTAGAAAAACTATAGTAGGCTAACCAAGGATATTTGCGTACAAGGCAAAAATATTCAGCACTGTGGACTGAGTCCGACTATGTCCCTGCTTAAGGCACAAGTGGAAGAAGACGACAACGATGTCAGCCCTTTCAGAGGCAGCCTCGAGGGGTGGTAAGAGGCACCGTAGAGCCAGAGTCGTAATCCAGGTCCACCGTGGTGTGAGCGTTGGCATTCAGATTGCTCAGTGAAGTGCCCGTTCCCGATTGCTGGCGGTCACGCAGGCTCTGAATGTAACTCTTTGTAGGGTGCAAAGCGGGGAGGAGAGGGAGAGAGAGACAGGTCATGAACCAAGCAAGGGGAACAACACATTTCCTGGAAACATGGGGATTTCTATCCTTTTTGAGGGGCCACTTCACGTTTATAACTTCTCCTGTCCGTTGCCACCAGTAGATCTAAAGCGGGGAGGAAAGGGCAACTCCACAAAGAAGCAACAGATGATGTGCATGACGGACTTACAACACATCACAGCTGAAATACCAAGCATGTATTATTTATCACACTACTCTTTAAACAGTATGTATCCCAATTTAAAGTCCCCTGCAGAATTCCGGGATTTGTAGTATAGTGAGGACCAGAACCCTTTTGGATGAGAATTTGAAAGGGCTCTCCCTAAACTGCAAATCCCAGGATTCAACAGGAGGCATCTATAGGATTTAAAGTGGGATACCAACTCTTTAACAGTGTAGTGTGATAATATACACATTTAAAGAAGCACACCTTTCCTGGGCTATTTACTCACACATTCAGTCTTGCATTGTTGTCTAGCAGAAGGGGAAATTGCTATATACCCAGGCATGGGCAAACTTGGGCCCTCCCTCCAGGTGTTTTGGACTCCAACTCTCACAATTCCTAACAGCCTCAGGCCCTTTTTTCGCTTAGCGGAAAGGAGAAGAAAAGGAAAGGCCTGAGGCTGTTGGGAATTGTGAGAGTTGAAGTCCAAAACACCTGGAGGGAGGGCCCAAGTTGGCCCATACCTGGTATATACGCTGTATATTTCAGGGACTGATCATATTAAAGTCTGGACAGAGTCTTTTCTCAGCTCCCACTGAATTCTCCCATTCCTGCTTCCTCTGAACATTCATGCGTTCCTCCTTAGGGAGAAATTGAGCCAGATAATATATCAGGTGCATCTCCATTTCCAGTATCAGCTGAAAGGAACATTAATAGGAATAGATCCAAGCAACACTGGTTAGACACAATAAACAGAAGGGAACATTCCTTTAAATGGTTAAATTCATAATATCATAAGATTGCTTTAAGGAAGAGTTAAAATAACTAAATGGCTGCTAGACATGAGGACTACTTAGTGCATTCAGAGCTTGGAAATTTTATTTTTAAAAAGTTACTCAATATAACTTAAGAGAAAAGTATTTTGTTGTCATTATCTTTCACTCTTTAGTAGCATGTTGCCAGTGCATTCTGTTTCAATTAATTCATAAATATAAGATCCAAAGAATGTTCCACCCAAAATGTTTCAAAGCAACTCTTTAGCCAAGAAACCAAAAATAAAAGCAACACAACTCCATTCAGTACTAAGAATGAAAGGAACAATTTATTACATCCAAGTTCTGACTGTATTGAGCATCAGAAGGAACTAAATATTACTGAATAGAGAACATTATCTTTTTCTAAACTAAACAACAAGGACCACATATATTGCCAATGTTAATATGAAAGAGATTTTAGAGACTAACTGAAAGAACAAAGTTGGTAATAGAAGCTTTTGCAGACTAAGTCCAAATCCTCAGATATTTTTATATGAGGCAGTAAGACTTAGTTTATGAAAGCTTCACCTAAACTGCCACAGGATCCCTTTTCAAATTGATATTCCAAACTAACACAGCTATGCCTCCAAATATATTGTGACTGTGACAATACTATATAGCTTTCTGATGGTGACACTTTGTGTAAATCATGAATGTTAATCAGAATTGGAAGGGTTAGAAAATAATCTAGCTGCCTTCGGAAGAAGTCAGGTCTGCCTTCTGTATCTTCAAGCTGCAAGATCCTCAATGTGGATTCAAATAGTCATTGATGATGGTTAATACAAAATGCAGTGCTTCTCATCAAGCTGCTAGATTGTTTAACCCTACCATTCCATAATATAAGCAGCAATCAGGCTACTATGGGTAGGTGGCATCCTTCCTTGACTTAAATGGAAATGCCGGTCGACAACTCCTGTATTCCTCATCATTAGACATTATGGCTAAGCTGACAACATCTGGAAGGCTGCAATTTGTTGTTTAGTCAGGAGAGTGGGGTTTGGATTCAGATTCAAGGCTTGTGGATATAATATCTGGGTTTAAAATGTCCTTTACCCTTTCCCTAACCTCAGAGCTACATGTGCTGTTGGGCTACAATTTCCATTGTTCCCAGTCCACATAGCGGATAATCAAAAATATAAAAAGAGAGATAAGAAATATATATATATATATATAGAGAGAGAGAGAGAGAGAGAGAGAGAGAGAGTTAGCACTCTGTATCCACTGATTCTCTATTGATGGATTCAACAGCCCTTTAAAGGCAACCATAAAACTGATATGATCCTTTATGAAAATTAGTTTGACATCTCTGCTGTGATGGGTGGGGAATGTGTGTCCATCCAGATGTCACTACACTACAACTTCCATCACCTCTTACTATGTTGGCTAGGGCTGATGGAAGTTGCAATCCTGCAACACCCAGAAGTCTCCATGTTCCACATCCCTGCATTACAACTTTACAAATATTAAAGAGTTCTCTCTTGCTCAAACTTTCATTCATTTATGGCACAGTCCTTACTCCCTGTCATTGGCTAAATAAGGCAGTGGGATGGACACAAGACACAGAAGTAGAATCTGAACAACTACTCACTGGTGCGAGGACATCTCCTGCACAGCGCTTGACCGCACTAGGCTTATGTCGGTAGGATCCTTCCTGGGAACCCTGGCTCTGCCTCTTCTTGGCTTCACGTTGCCGAATCCGCAATAGCTGTAGCTGCTTCTGGCGCCGATTCAGGACCACTGGGTAAGAGAACAGGAGTGTTAAACCAGGCAGTGCCCACCCTCAAAATCCCTCAAGGAAGCAGATGAATCCAGGACAATACTAGGAGGTAATAAGGAAGCCCCACCCTGATCCAGTGAAACACATCCTCTGTGAAAGAGACTGAGACTTTCACTTTTAATCACAGGATTCATTTTTAATTGAATCAGGTGGGGAGAAAGACAATTGCCTGTTGTTAACACTCCTCTTTTTTGTGTAAGGGAGGCTAATGTGGGTTATAACCATCCTGCTGTGTTCTGTTTCTTCAATTCCTAAAAACCTTTTAGGAGACATAAATGACAGCGGTATATTCTCCCTGTCCATTTTCAACCCACTTTCTCTCTAAGCAGATCAGGACAGTGTTTGTGTTTCTTTCCTCCCACCCCATATTTAGTTTCATGGTGATCCTGGGAGTAAGTTAAGCTGAGAAGTAAAGTCTGGTCCGAGGTCACTGAGTTAGAACTCCTTCTCCAAAGGTCCAACCCTTGGACTCCTGTTGTTCACCTCCCCCTTTTACCCACATGATCCCTATTATTGTGATCGATTATTGTGGTTTTATATTGTATTGCTTTTTTATTACTTTCATTTTATTTTATCGATGTATTATTTTATGTTGTATATTTGCTTGCTTTGCTTTGATGTAATTGTTGGGCTTGGCCTCATGTAAGCCACCCCAAGTCCCCTTGCGGAGTTGATGGTGGGATATAAATAATTTTATTATTATTATTATTATTATTATTATTATTATTATTATTATTACTATTATGAACAAAAGGTTTAAGTGATCAGTGGGTTCGATGTGGTAAAAATGACAGATTTCAGCAATTCCCAAATGGAATTGTTTGAAGACAGTCATAGAAAAAAGAAAATAATTGCGGCAACTCAAGGCGGCTTACAAGGCAAAATTCAATGCCACAAAACACAGTACAATTTTTTAAAGTTAACAGCAATAAAATTAAAACAACAGCAGTAAAAACATAAATCAGCAAGTCCTCAATAAAAAAACATTGTCCAATTCCATCGTATAGAATATTCCATTTTCCTATGTCATTAATCAATATTTGCAAATGCTTGCTCAAATAGCCATGTCTTAAGTTTTTTTCTCTCGAAATGTTAGGAGTGAAGAAGCCAATCTAATCTCGTTAGGGAGGGCATTCCACAGCTGAGGGGCCACCACTGAGAAGGTCCTGTCTCTCATCACTGCCGAATGTACTTGTGACGAAGGCGGGAGCGAGAGCAGGGCCTCCCCAGACGATCTTAACGTCCTTGATAGTTCGTAAGGGGAGATGCATTCAGACAGGTAAATTGAGCCCCTTCCTCACAGCAAATAAAATCTCACATTATCTGCTTGAACTGGGATATATGGCAATGTGGACTCAGATAACCCACAACCAAGATATTGAGGGATTTTCTGCCTCGATATTCTGGGTTATATATCCTGTGTGGAAGGATATATAACACACAGGGTCTTTCCATACAGCCCTATATCCCAGAATATCAAGGCAGGAAATCCCACAATATCTGCTTTGAACTGGGTCTACGCTCAGATAATGTGGGATTTTCTGCCTTGATATTCTGGGATATAGGGCTGTGTGGAAGGGCCCACAGCTCTCTAACCCCTATTCAGATCTTCCCTGTGCCTCTGACTGTTCTCCTTATACCATCTTTTCTCTACCTTGCTCCTGTCTGACTAGTTTATATCCTTCCTTTGTCCATCGCTCCTTATTTCCCTGAAAAGACAAGGAAAACTATTTTCAGACTGCACAAGCCTTCTTCACACATGGATCCGCTTTTCTCCCTCTCTAATATTTGTCAGCGGCTTAGACTTGGAGATTTCAAAGTAGCGCACAATAACAAACCATATAACACCTAGATAACATAATAATATAAATAACTCTAATCTGCAGGCATTCGAAAATAACTTGCTTTATAGGGCGGGTTTGTTTTTTTTACTCCATTGCATTTCCTCTCCATAGGATTGTCTGTGAGTGCAGAACAAAGAGGACTCCATAATACCCCCCAAACCCTGAGCCACAAATCAAAGACACACATCAGGTGAGATACGATTTTATGTATTCTCAGGAATACCTAATATTAATGATATCTGTGGATAATTTTAATGCATGGAATAGTCCTTGCCAAGGAACTATTCACTGCAGGCTCTCTGCAGACAACTGAAGGATATCACTTGAATGCTGCAGTAATCCTTGCTCGTAGTGATCTCTGCAAACAAATTTCCAATATGGCACCATTAGTTGGAAATCACTTGAAGATGCACAACAGCTACAACAATGTGTTGTCACCATGTTATAATTAACCTGGGCTTTCTTTGCTCGACCATGCTATGGCCAAAATAAATGTCTCTTTCCAGAAGATATGGTATCACACTTCCATGCCATATTTTTCTGATTTATTTGCACAAGCCCCAAAGATTTCCACTCACCGTCTGTGTGTGAGAAGCCTTCAGCGGTCACTTTCCATTGCAGCAGGATTCCCATCAAGGCGAGAGCGGGCCAGGTTGCCAGCACGGCCCAGCCGCACCAGCAGAGCGGGGAAGAAGGAGCCAGGCGGAGGCGGTCATAGATGTGCTGCCCCATAGCCAAGTTCTCCACCACATAGTCCAAGCAGAGGGTCAGCACTGCACCCCCAAAAACAGCTGTGGAAATGACTGTGAGGGCTTTCTGCCAGCGCAACGCCAAGACAGCACCCAAAAGGGCTGAGCCCAACAGAGACCCAGCGGGGACCCAGGCGCTGGGTGGCTCATATAAAGGCTCCGTGGCCACCAGCCCAGCGGTGGCCACCAGCAAACCAAGCAGAAGCCCAGTCAGGAACAACCCAACCGAGTGCACCAGCATCGTGACTAAGCCACACAGGACCCCGATGCCCAGGGCAATGCCGGCGCTGACCTCCAGGCTCAGCTGCGTATCCAAGATGCGTTCCTTGTAGCAAAGCAAGAAGATCACGGCCGAACCAAAGAGCAGCCCTGAGAGGAACATGATGGCCTTGAAACAACGGTAGCCTGTTGATGGAAAAAGAAAAGAAGCAAAATGAGCCGAAGGCCTCAAAGATGGAGTGTACAGTGTCAGTGGAAAAACAAGCTGAGGCATGGGCTACTATTGGCAAAGGGTTAAATCCTCTAACGCTCATTATGTGGACTACATTCGTTGCTCATACTGAGAGGCTAGAGAAGCATGTTGCCAAATTCTGGCCCTCTTTCTGTAATCATTCAGAACAATGGTTTCATGCAATTGGTGATGCAGACTTGTTATCATTATTCTCCTAAAACAACTGGGTATTTCATATTATCCGAAACAGATCAAGCATGAAGGACCTTGCGTTCTGGCTATAGTGTGCTATAGTGCTACTTATTGTAATTAAAATGTGATGGAAAGGGGAATAACATGACTTTGAAAACAAGACAACTATATTATAATAATCAGAAGTTGTAACTCTCCTCCATGTTTCACTGCTTGGTGTTTGAACAGCAACAGTCTTAGGTTACTCTATAACAAAAACAAAGTTGTTCAAGTCTCAGATGCAGTTTTGTCTCTATTTGGTTTATTCCCTTTCATAGTTGTCTTCCAGGTAAGGCATCACTACCAATTAGATTTCCAGGATTTCCAATGTATTTTTCATTGTTCAAGTTTGGTGTATTAATCTGTTCATGATAAGCAGAACCTACATTTGTCCAATCCAGCTGCGACCTAGGCATTCTCAAAAGAGCACATGTGCCCATGGACTCCTAAAAAGGTTTTCTTCTCAAACCTCCAGCCAAAATCATGTTGATATATTCCAGAGTCCCCTGCTCTTGTCTCCTTCCTTGGCAGAAGGTAACCATCTGCTCCACAGTTTATATGAAGCACCATAAAAGGCATAAGGGGCAGATCCTGCAACATATTCTTGTGCTGCATTCAAGTCACCTGTTAACTTATGGCAACCTCGTGAGTTCCACAGAGTTTAGCCCGAGTAAGGAATATTCAAAGAGTGGTTTGTGCAGTCCCTTCCTCTGAATTATAGTCTATAGAACTGCTTCTGTGGATCATGACCCCAAAGGGGTCTCCTTAACTCAATGACACGGATATTTTGGCAAAACTAAAAGGTTTCTGAATGCCACCTAGATATGTTAGCAACAACATGCAGTGTGTAGGTAAAGGTAAAGGTTTCCCCTTCACATTAAGTCTAGTCCTGTCTGACTCTGGGCATTGGTGCACATCTCCATTTCTAAGCCGAAGAGCAGGCATTGTCTGTAGATGCCTCCAAGGTCATGTGGCCATCATGACTTCACAGAGCACCGTTACCTTCCAGCCAGAGCAGTACCTATTGATCTATTCATATTTGTATGTTTTCAAACTGTTAGGTTGGCAGAAGCTGGGGCTAACAGCGGGAGCTCACCCTGTCCCCTGGATTCAAACCACCAACCTTTTGGTCATCAAGTTCAGCAGCTCAGTGGTTTAACCTGCTGCGCCATTGGGGACAGTGTTTACAGTGTAGTTAATGCTTCAGCTGTACTTCATAAAAAGGAAAATCAGACTGTTTAGCAAGCCTTGCAAACGCTGAATTATCTCGCAAATGTTAAATTTGATTTTATATACCTGGAGTCATGAAAATATTTTCAGGCAGAAAGAGGTTCCAAGTGGAAAATGCACAAGAATTCCTGGTCTATAGCAGAATTGATTCTAGTAGGTCTGCCCCCATGTAAGGTGGAGCCATGTACTACTCCACAACTTACTCCACAACTTAGCCTCTGAAGCCCACCTTATGGCTATTGTGTGTTGGATGTGGAGTGACATTATTGCTACATCCTTGTAACCGGATGTGAAATGATTACAACAACACTAGGAATTCTGGACAACACAAGATGCTCTCAGGCTTGATGTCACCATTTGATGCCTGACTACCAGAGCATAGCCAGATGTGTCTCCTATTCTGCCCACTCCCTACAAAACATGGAACGCCTATGTAGGGGGCTTATTAAACTGTCCAGTAGGTTTTTCATGGAATGATTTTAGATACTGTGCCGGGAGGAATGGAATACCCGCTCCTGCAACATCCAAAACTGAACATATATATGCATAAGAGAAAATTCCTCCAGCATAATAAGATTCTAGTCATATACTCTCTAACTCCTGAATATATTCATTACCATAATGCAGTGTTTCTCAACCTTCCTAATGCCTCAACCCCTTAATACAGTTCCTCATGTTGTGGTGACTCCCAACCATAACAACATTTTTGTTGCTACTTCACATCTGTCATTTTGCCTCTGTTATGAATATCTGATATGCAGGATGGATTTTTATTCACTGGACCAATTTCACAATAAGACCAAATTTGAATACTTGTAGGGTTGTGGGGGTTGATTTTGTCATTTGGGAGTTGTAGTTGCTGGGGTTTATAGTTCACCTACAAACAAAGAGCATTCTGAACTCCACCGACAATGGACTTGAACCAAACTTGGCACACAGAACTCCAATGAGCAACAGAAAATACTGTGTGGATTTGGTGGGCACTGACCTTGAGTTTGGGAGTTGTAGTTCACCTACATCCAGAGAGCACTGTGAACTCAAACACTGATGGATCTGGACCAAATTTGTCACAAATGCTCAATATGCCCAAATGTGAATACTGGTGGAGTATGGGAAAACAGACCTTGACATTTGGGAGTTGTAATTGCTGGGATTTATAGTTCACCTACAATCAAAGAGCATTCTGAACCCCACCAACGATAGAATTGGGTCAAACTTCCCACCCAGAAACTACATGATCAACAGAAAATACTGTGTTTTCTGATGTTTTTGGCAATGTCTTTGATACACCCTTGCGATCACCCCCCGGGGATCCCGACTCCCAGATTGAGGAACACTGCCATAATGGAAGAGAGACTGTAAAATTAACAAGGCAGGGAGGAGGCTCAAAATAAACCCCAGAAGAGAAATTTGGTGCAAGTGAGTTACATATCCCTTCACAAACACTGCTTCACAGACCCATAACCTCTAAGTTTGCACTCCTACCTTTATGGCAGTTCATGTTTTGAAATGTCTTTGTGTGTGGGTTCAGCCTGGCATTTACCACTGTGACTCACCCCGGTTCCCTGGGAAGGTTCACACATCTTAAATGGGACGAATGCTGGGCCACCAGCAGCTTTTTGCTCTCTATGCTGGCAAAGCTAGTGTGTGATAACAAGACAGGGAAGGCAGAGAAAGAGAAAAGGGGAGAGAACACTCGAGTGCAGCATTTCTCAACATGGGGGTCGCAATGGGGGTGTCACAGGGGTCGCCAAAGACCATCAGAAAACACATATTTCTGATGGTCTTAGGAAAACAAGTACTCTCCGGAGATAGGTGAACTACATCTCCCCTAAATCACTGTCAATTCCTCCAGCATTTTCTGTTAGTCATGAGGATTCTGTGTGGGAAGTTTGGCCCAATTCTATCATTGGTGGGGTTCAGAATGTTCTTTGATTGTAGGTGAACTATAAATCCCAGCAACTACAATTCATAAATGCCAAGGTCTGATTCCACAAACTCCACCAGTATTCACATTTGGTCACATTGAGTATTGCTGATGTTTTTGGTCAAGATCCATCATGGTTTGAGTCCACAGTGCTCTCTGGATGAAGGTGAACTACAAATCCAAAACTCAAGGACCATGCCCATCAAACTGTTGCAGTATTTTCTGTTGGTCATGGGAGTTCTGTGTGCCCAGTTTGGTTCAATTCCATCATTGGTGGAGTTACGCTTTGATTGTAGGTGAACTCGAAATCCCAGCAACTACAACTCCCAAATGACAAAAGCAATCTCCCCTCCCCCAACCCCACCAGTATTCAAGTTTGGAGATATTGGGTATTGGGCATATTGGGTATTTGTGCCAAAATTGGTCCAGTAAATGAAAATACATCCTGCATATCAGATATTTACATGACATTCCATTAGAGTAGCAAAATTACAGTTATGAAATAGTAAGAAAAATAATGTTATGGTTGGGGGGTCACCACAACATGAGGAACTGTATTAAGGGGTCACGGCATGAGGAAGGTTGAGAAACACTGCTTCAGTGTGTGATAACAAGCCAAGGAAGGCAGAGAGAGAAAGAGAAATTAGTGCCAGAATCTCCAGAAAACCCACAGCTCTGCCAGGATCACAATGGAAAGAAGAAGAAATATGGAAAAGTGCATTTCTCCTTACTTGCCTCCTTTTCTGAATGGTTGCACTTCCACTGCTCCCAATAGAAGGGAAATGAACCAGGGCCAGTCTAGGATTGAAAGGGATTCTCTCCTTTTGGACTAAAAAGCAGCTTTAGAGATGGCACAACTCACTAGATTAGGGATCTAGCAACCCACCAGAAGATCTGGACTTCCACTCCCAATATAGTTACTAAGGAAGTGTGGGAGTTGCAACCTAAGATGTTTGAAGACCCAAAGGTTCCCAGAGCAGGTGCTAGAGAATTGTATTTCAAATCATCTGTTCTTCACATCACTAGGGAATCTGCCTGTTCAGGAAATGCGGGCCTTATCATCATCCAAAGTAAGTAGGAGGCTAGGAAGGTGGAGCTGCAGAGCCTCTTGAGGACAGATGGAGGAGAGAGAAGTGAGAGTGCAAGGAGCTCACACAAGCCTCCTTTCCCCTTGACTCACCAAAGCAGCAGTAAACAACTCCAAAAATGCAGCAGAGAGCACAGACGATGCAGGGCACCACCTCATAGTGCCTGTTCGAAAGGAGGCTGCAGGGGTCCACAGCAGGCTCGCTGGGTTCGGTCGCCCCTTGGTTAAAGCCCCGGGGGTCGGGAGACAAGACCAGCGGAAGCAGCGAGGTGGGGTCCATGCTCAGCAGCAGGAATTCAGCTCAGCTTTCCAGAGCCATTGCAGTGGGAGAGGCAGCCTGTAAAGAGAATTTCAGTAAGGACAAAGCCCACAACTTCTTCAACACCACCAACCAAGTAAACTCACCTTTGTTTTAGGACTACAATTCTCAGAAGTCTAATCGAAAGGGAAACTCTGGGAATTGCCACCCAAAGAAAGACCCCCATTTTTAAGCTCTGAAAAGGACTACTTTCTTTTCCCAGCTCTTCCAGGGCTGTGTCAAGGCAAGCCAGAAAGCCTTAGGGCAGCATTTCTCAACCTGGGGGTCAGGACCCCTGAGGGGTCGCAAGGGGGTTTCAGAGAAGTCACCAAAGACCATCAGAAAATATGTATTTCTGATGATCTAAGGAACCCCTTTGGTAGATAACGCTGAAGATCTCTCCGCTTGTCCTTCTCTTCGTTTTTGGAAACAGAGGCAAGGCCTCCCACTTTCCTCTCAGCCAAGGGAAAGGCCGTTTCTGGGACTCCAAGCGAGGAGGGGAGAGCAGGCATGCTTGACGCATGGCAGAATGTTGTGCATATGAGGGTGAGGGAGAGCATGTGAGGCTGGATGGGGCTTTCACCAGTGAGTCCCTTCAACACATGGGGGTTCTGTGTGAGAAGTTTGGCCCAATTCTATTGCTGGTGGGTTTCAGAATGCTCTCTGATTGTAGGTGAACTATAAATCCCAGTAAGTACAGGTCCCAAATGTCAAGTCTATTTTCCCCAAACTCCACCAGTGTTCACATTTCGGCATATTGAGTATTTGTGCCAAGTTTGGTCTCGATCCATCATTGTTTGAGTCCACAGTGCTCTCTGGATGGCCGTGAACTACAACTCCAAAACTCAAGGTCAATGCCCACCAAACCCTTCCAATATTTTCTATTGGTCATAGGAGTTCGGTGTGCCAAGTTTAGTTCAATTCCATCGCTGATGGAGTTCAGAATGCTCTTTGATTGTAGATGAACTGTAAATCCCAACAACTAAAACTCCCAAAAGACAAAATCCCCCTCCCCCAAACCCACCAGTATTCCAATTTGGGCGTATCGGGTATTTGTGCCAAATTTGGTCCAGTGAATGAAAATAGATCCTGCATATCAGATATTTACATAACGATTCATAACAGTAGCAAAATTACAGTTATGAAGTAGCAACAAAAATAATGTTATTGTTGGGGGTCATCACAACATGAAGAACTTCCTGTTAGGGAGAGTTGGGACAACATAATGAGTCCTGTCCGGTCTGAAGGGTTCCCTTTTCTTGGGTGCCACTCTGGATGTTCCCCAAACTCCCAATTCTGGTCGCTTCTCCTTGTGCTGTTGCTCTGATTTCTCCTTTGGTGTTTAACTCCCCACCAAATACTTCAATTACTCTGCACTGCCCTGCATATATCCCAAGGTGTGAAGTTTGTTGTCTTTCAGCATTTGATCAAGCAGATGCACCTGGCCTTAGCCAAAAACCCATGTTAGAATTGAGAAAAGTTTCCTAAGCGTGATCCTCATCAGCTTTACCCTACCTGTTGGGCACTGACATTCCTGTATCTGTTTCCTGCCACCAGTCCCATCAACCTCCCCTTTGGTGGTTAACTGCTGTCAATATGAGTATTATGATACAGCTACAACCTAGACCCCAGTTGTATTGTTGCTTGGGGAGTAATACAGAAGGGAGAAGATAGCACCCAAACTAAACGCCAGAGCCCAAAGTAATAAGCATCCGAAATCGTATCACGATAATACAAGCAAGCTTACTCAAATGGCAACTGCACAACATGTAGTGGCAGAACTCCTCTGTTTTATTACTGTGTTTAGTAAAACATAAGACTATCTTTTCACTAAAAAATGTTGTTCAAGACAGCTAAGATTACACCAATTTAAATTGGTAGCAATTTATACAAGTAGGAAGCTGAAAACTATAATAAACAAATATAAATAAATGGATGTGTTAGAACAGTTCCCTCCCACTCCACATACTGAGCGATACAATAGATACCTGTGTAGATTTAATTTACTAATAAAACTCCATAACCTACATATCATAAGATAAAGGATTTCCCCTGGTATTAAATCCAGTCATGTCCAACTCTAGCGGTTGGTGCTCACCTCCATTTCTAAGCTGAAGAGCCGGAGTTGTCCGTAGACACCTCCAAGGTCATGTGGCCAGCATGACTGCGTGGAGTGGAGTGACATTATTGCTACATCCTTGTAACCGGATGTGAAATGATTACAACAACACTAGGAATTCTGGACAACGCAAGATGCTCTCAGGCTTGATGTCACCATTTGATGCCTGACTACCACAGCATAGCCAGATTTGTCTCCTATTCTGCCCACTCCCTACAAAACATGGAACGGCTGTGTAGGGGGCTTATTAAACTGTCCAGTAGGTTTTTCATGGAATGATTTTAGATACTGTGCCGGGAGGAATGGAATAACCGCTCCTGCAACATCCAAAACTGAACATATATATGCATAAGAGAAAATTCCTCCAGCATAATAAGATTCTAGTCATATACTCTCTAACTCCTGAATATATTCACTACTCAAAGTTACAAGTTTTCGAACTACTACGTCGGCAGAAGCTGGGGCTAACAGTTGGAGCTCACCCTGATTCCCGGACTTGAACTGGCAACCCTTTGGTCAGCAAATTCAGCAGCTCAGCAGTTTAACCCACTGTGCCATCTGGGGCTACATCATACTTTTCTTTATTTCCCATCCTTTTTTATATTTCCCCATTTCCTTTTATGTTACAAAATTGTGAAAATGAAATAAAAAAAACTTGCAAGAAAAGGATATTTTTGAAAAAATTCATTCTCTTCTATCTCACACCCAATTACATATAGAAGAATGGGCAGCTCTCCCTCTCAAAGCAGCTTCTGAACATACCCATTCACTAAAACAAACGAAACCAATCTACCTGTATTCAACTAAAGCAGGTAAACTTTAGATTAAAGAACTGGAATAATACCCCAATGAGAAAAGGATAAACCATCTGGGCCCTTTTTGTGTGTTAAGAAGTTGGGGCATAACAGAGGTGTGTGAAATTGAGACAATATGAAATAGAGACAAAGTGAATATAAAAAAATTCTCTTCCTAAAATCTGGGGATCTGAAAAGTGTGAGATGCAGAACAGAGGAAAGGAAGTATTTCTTCACACTGGTCATGGACTGTGACATTTCCTTTCACCAGATATAACAATGGCCACCTATTCAGCTAGCTTGAAAGGAGGCCAGGCAAATTTATGAAGGACAAGACAATCAAGAGCTCTGTGTCATGTCTGCATGTTATCTCCAGGATTAGAGATGGAAGACCTAATTTATAATACTTTGTATAACAACAAAGAACAATGATGTCCATCAAGAACGCGGGGGAGATTAATGTATAAGTCAACCTCATGTGGAGGTCAAGGACATACTTGGGACCCAAAATTATAGATTTTTATATGGCCCATGGATAAGTCAAGGGTCATTCAAAGAAGGGAGAGACAAAATAGTACTTCAGGGGGCCAGGCAGCACTGACTATCACCATTTCCTCACCTAAAGATAAAGGTTTCCCTTTGACATTGTCTAGTTATGTCTGACTCTGGGGGTTGGTGCTCATCTCCATTTCTAAGCCTAAGAGCCAGCGTTGTCCATAGACGCCTCCAAGGTCTTGTCGATGGCATGATTGAATGGAGCATTGTTACTTTCCCACAGAAGTGGTACCTATTAATCTACTCACATTTGCATGTTTAAAACTGAGACATTGTAAACAATGTATTTTAATGCTGGGATAAATGTTTTTAGTGCTTATGTATGCATATAATTCATGTCCTGGCATTGAATGTTTGCCATTTGTATGTTGTGCTCTGCCCTGGGTCCCCTTCGAGGTGAGAAGGGCAGAATATAAATGTTTTAAATAAAATAAAATAAAATGTTTTCAAACTGCTAGATTGGCAGAAGCTGGGGCTAACAGCAGGAGCTCACCCTGTCCGTGGATTCGAACCGCTGACCTTCTGATCAGCAAATTCTGAAGCTTTGCGGTTTAACCCACTGCACCACCACAGCCCCTTCCTCATCTAGGCATTCAAAAAAGCCAGAAACAGAACCACAACAGAGACAATAATTGGTGGTTCGCGCTTTTTTAAACTTCTCCTAAGCTGGACTAAAATTTTGCCTTTTACAGTCAGACTATTGATCGAAAAAAGTGTCTATAAGATATAAGTTACCCAGATGGAAGACTGAGGAGGAATTATATTTGAAAGGGAAGGAAATTACCTAACCAAGTTGACATAAGTTAGACTGTTCTGAAAATTATATAATATCAGTTTTCTGTATTCTCAAGAGTTAAAGACAGATGTAACAATATCCAGGTGGAACTGAAGTAAAGTACTGTGTAACAAAGAGAAAGGGACATTGACTCATGGATAAGTTGACCCATGTTTTTGGGTTTGACTCCTATTTCTAGACTTCTACAGGAATATATATATGGCAGTAGTAACATGACTGGGCTCCATTGAAACTGATGTAGCAGAGGATGTTCCATTCATGTACATCGTGCAGAGAGGTCAAGGCCATTCCGTGCTTTGACCTTGTGAGGAACAGATGTGCACTAGATGTGATCTAGCAGGACTGTCCTTAATGTTCATCCAAACGTACCCATCTTATTTCCAACACCTCAATCCTCTAAGCATAGCACTTCCTATTCCCTTCCCACTTCTCAAAGGTTAGGCTATTCACAAGACAAGAGCAGGAGAAAGCATGATGCTCTCCACCCCAACACAGCTCCCCCCAACAAGCCAAACCGGCTGAAATTGGCAACACAGATCAACCCCCCCCCCTTTCCAAATCTGGCAGTCTTCACATGAAATCCACACCAAATCTTATTCATACATGACTTATAATCCCTCTCCTTAAATTAGAAAATGATGAAGGGATCAGCTTTAGGGTGGGCAAGAAACACAAAGAGGTGGAAGCCCATAATTACATCTCATTTCAACAACGATTTAAAGCCTGGTCACCAGCCAGGACTTCTGGGTCTCGTTCCCAGCTCAGGAGGGGAAGGGGGAAGCCTAGAGAATTGGAGCAGGACTTACAACGAGGAGCCAGAACTTCTGGGCTCCCATCCCAGCTTCGGGGGGAAGGTATCCATCATTTTTCATATGAGCCCCATTTCAAGCTGGGAGAAAGACAAGGCAAGACGGACAGTCCAATTCCCTAGAACAAGGATTGTCAAGGGCACCCCCTTCTTGAAGAATCGCTCCCTTGTTCAGAGCATCAAAGATTAGATGAACATGAAAAATAGATTCCCCATTTCTGTGGAGATGTCATTTTCACTTGGGTCCATCCTTTTGTTTGTCTTTAATTTCTGATGTTTCCAAAGTAATTTGGAAGAGTTCGCTATTTTTCCCTGGGCAACACTTTCTGGAATCTCCAAGACAAGAGATATTCTGGGAGCTAAACTTCAGGACAAGCTCTAGATTTTGATCAGAAATCAATATAGAGACAAATGGGATATTTGTCTCAGAGCAGTGGTTCTCAGCCTGTGGGTCCCCAGGTGTTTTGGCCTACAACTCCCAGAAATCCCAGCCAATTTACCAGCTATTAGGATTTCTTGGAGTTGAAGGCCAAAACATCTGGGGACCCACAGGTTGAGAACCACTGTCCCAGAGAAGCTTTGAGCAGCTGAGCTACACAAGGATATTGATGGGAATCTGTTTCTAATTTTGCTACAGCCGAGCTTGAAGAAGAAGAAAAAAAGTTGTGGGAATCATGCAGCACGACAAATTGGGGGCTACAGCCCAGGAACATTAGGAGGATCACATAATTCCCATCCCTGCAACACGGCTGTGAAAAAAACTTACAAAAAGCAGTGGATTTCATTTATAAGAGAAGCCGAGGAAACCCTTGTGCCAGCAGGATTGAAGACCGACAGGTCAGAGGTTCAAATTTGGGCTGAGAGTGGATGAGCTCCCTCTGTCAGCTCCAGCTCCCCAAGCGGGGACATGAGAGAAGCCTCCCACAATGATGACAAAACATATGTGTGTCCCCTGGGCAACGTTCTTGCAGACAGCCAATTCTCTCGCACCAGAAGCAACTTGCAGTTTCTCAAGTCACTCCTGACATGGAAATTTTTTTGCAAGATTACGAAATAGGAACAGAAACCACATCTGAGTATTTGTTGCCTGAATTAGTCTCAGATCATCACCATAGGTTTATGCAACTTTCACTTCTACATTGTCTAGTCATGAGTGTAAATCTACAAAGGCCTTAAAGTCCATTCATTTACATTACCTCATGTCCCACAGGATAGATAAAGCGAATTAATAACTAACTTATTCTTATGAAGCAATTCCGAGAACGACACAATAAGTTGCGTAGGTTTCCTCCCAAGGAAAGAGGGTGAAATCCACATGCCAATAGCTGTGCATCTGGAGACACGGCTGTTGGCAGAGGGACAGTTGGTTTATAGTTTACACAAGATTCAACATGACAAAATGGAGCTCAAATTTCACGTGTGGTCCCACATTAATACAGTTTTTCCAGTAAAAAAATGCATGCTTTCCAAATTCAAGATGACCGCCTAACAAACTCAATACTCTCTAGTCTACCCTGCCTTTAAAAGAAATGTAAACACTAGGAAATTTGAAATTTTGGGATAGAAGTTGTTTTAGAAGAAGGGGATTCCAAGAGAGCAAACTAAGTTTTTTAAAAAACAATGTTTAGTTCTTTGTTTGATGTGCTTTTTAACTGACTTGTTCTATTAATTGTAAATCTAATTCTATTTTAATATTTTTATTATTATGTATATTATTTCTATGATGTAGGTTGTAAATTTTATCAATTTTTGGGTTGTGAGCTGCTTTGGGTCTCAATCAAGTAAGGGAAGCAGAGGATAAATAAACATAGAATCACAGAGTTGGAAGATACCTTGTGGGCTATCCAGTCCAAACCCTTGCCAAGAAGCAGAACAATCACATTCAAAGCTCTCCCAACAGATAGCCATCCAGCCTCTGTTTAAAAGCCTCTAAAGAAGGAGCCTCCACCACTCTCCGGGGCAGAGAGTTCCACTGCTGAACAGCTCTCACAGTCAGGAAGTGCTTCCTAATGTTCAGGAGGATCCTCCTTTCTTGTACTTGGAAGCAAATGTTGTGCATCCTAATCTCCAGGGCGGAAGAAGTCAAGCTTGCTCCCTCCTCCCTATGACTTCCTCTCACATATTTATACATAGCTATCATGTCTCCTCTCTGCCTTCTCTTCTTCAGGCTAAACATGCCCAGCTCTTTAAGCATCTCCTCATAGGGCTTGTTCTCCAGACCCTTGATTCTCTGAACACATTCCAGCTTGTCAACATCTCCTTTCAACTGTGGTGCCCAAAACAGGACACAGTGTGATTCCAGGTGTGGTCTAACCAAGGCAGAATAGAGGAGTAGAATAACTTCCCTGAACTAACTCCACTGTCAGTCCTTATATGAGACTTCCCAGCTGGCATGTTACGGGCTCCCTTGCCCCCAAAAGCATTATGGAGGGCAGCCTTCCCCTCCGGAATCTGCAGCTGAACCAACTGGTTCCCAGTCCCCGGCTACTGCTGTGTGTGTGTACAATGGACGGACATTTAATATATATGCAATAAGGGCTCCAGCAATGTTTCTGGCTCCGCTGCCCCCTCCTCCCTGGCTTGGATCCCAGACAGGAAAGCAGGACTGTTGTTCAATGGAAATATTCCCTTTGGGACCAGAGGGCTAGAATCAGTTGAAAATACTGTGATTAAATAGCTTGGTTGGAGGGAGGGGAGGAATAGGCACAGCTGGGAATCTGGGCAGGGTGTGTGTGCGTGGGTGGGTGGGTGGGAGGGAGAGAGATCAGTTGTTAACCAAGTTGTATATACATCAATAAAACAATGCCCCACCAAGAGGGGATTCTTTTCCAAGGAGAGCATGTTTTATAACATGATGCAATATAGCTGCATGTGCCTTGTTGTTTTTTCCGACTTTGATATTAAACTCCCACTTGATGGAAACTCAGAGAGAGGCGCATCTACACTGTAGAAAAGCCATGGGCAAACTTTGGCCCTCCAGGTGTTTTGGACTTCAACTCCCACAGTACAGTGGGAGTTGAAGTCCAAAACATCTGGAGGGCCAAAGTTTGCCCATGACTGCTGTAGAATGAATGCAGATTGACTCCACTTTAACTGCCAGGGCTCACCAATATGAGATCCTAGCAGTTGTCATTTGGGCAGATTATTTATTGATTTATATTTATACACACACACACACATACATATATGTATATATATATATATATACACACACACACACACACACACACACACACACACACACACACAAAATATACTTTAGATTATTATAAATACTATATGTATGTATATATATATATATGTATATATATATATATATATATATATATATATATATCTCCCATGTCATTTTAGCAAGTCTTTTGCCTTCTCTACCAGAGTATAAATAATAATTATATATTATATTATATTATTATTTATATTATATATATACTACAAATTATAGATTATTATAAATAGTATAATACCACACATCCCATTTCATTTTAGCAAATCTTTTGCCTTCTCTGCCAGAGAATAAATAATTATTATATTATATATTATGTTATTATTTATATTATTATATATTACAAATTATAGATTATAAATATTATAATATTATATAAATATGATATATATATATATTAGCAAGTCTTCTGCCTTCTCTGCCAGAGAATAAATAATAATAATATTATATATTATATTATTTTTATATTATATATATATATATTACAAATTATAGATTATTATCAATATAATATTATATATATATATATACACACACACACATCCCATGTCATTTGAGCAAGTCTTCTGTCTTCTCGGCAGAGAACAAATAATAAAAATTATATATTATATATTATATTATTATTTATATTATTAATAATAATATATTATTATACATAACAGATTATTACAATTATTATATTATATTATATATATACCATGTCATTTTAGCATTACTTATAATTTTGGGCTTGTCACTTGTAAGCCGCCCCGAAGTCCCTTAGGGGAGATGATTGGCGGGGTACAAAAATAATAATAATAATAATAATAATTATTATTATTATTATTATTATTATTATTATTATTAGCAAGTCTTCTGCCTTCTCTGCAGAGAATTAATAATAATAAATTATATATTATATATTTATGATTAGTATTATTTATTCTATGGCAGAGATGGCGAAAGACTTGCTAAAACGACACGGTGGAAAAGTATGGAGGCATAGCAATCGAAGTGAGGTCAAACTGCGTTAATTCTACAGTGCAGATGCACCCCTGGAGATGAGAAATATGCCCCTTATCCTACCCTCCGATCTCCACCAACTGTATAGATCTGTCCTCTCTCCCAATGCAAACTTTGCAAAGGAATATTCTTGCAAGCAGGGCATATACAAAGAGGTTTCCACATCTGTTTACATTGTAGGATGAAAGCAGCCTGGAATGGGATGAGGAAAGCTGCAATTTGGGGAGGTTTGGGCACTCTTTAGCAGGAAAGTCCTTGCAACTCTACATCTCCCTAGCCTTTATGCACCCTATAAAGCAGGCATGGGCAAACTTGGGCCCTCCAGGTGTTTTGGACTCCAACTCCCACAATTCCTAACAGCCTGCCAGCTGTCAGGAGTTGTGTGAGTTGAAGTCCAAAACCCTGGAGGGCCCAAGTTTGCTCCTGCGTGCTCTAAGCCAAGGCAACCCGGACCGAAGGAAAAAGAAGAAGCAAAACAAAACTTACCAGCTCAGGAAAGAGTTTCCGGCGCCGCTGCAAAAGCAACAACATCGTTCCTCCAACTCTGGACACGATGCAGCGTGTCAATCGAGATGGGAAATCAGAAGAATAGAGAGTCAAAGACCCGTTTTCCCCGCAAGAAAGGGAAGAAAGACCCTCTCGGTCAGCTCTCTCTCTCCCCTCCGACAGCTGGAGAGTGAGCTCAGCCAGTCCTGGGCGGGAAAGAAGAGAAGGGAGAAGGGGGGGGGGATCCCGGGCAGAGAGAAAAGGGGGCGACGAAAAGGAGGGAAAGGGGGGGGGGGGTTTCAATCTCTCTCTTCTTCCTTTTTGCAACGGTCTGTGGCAGCAGGTCTCCAAAGCAGGACCGTTTCCCAAGCCCAGCCCTTTCTCTCTCTCTCTCTCTCCCTCCCTCCCTCCCTCCCCCCGCAAGAGGGGGGTTTGGTTTCTCCCATTCGGAGATAATTGCTCGATTGTCTTGCAGAGAAAGGAGCGATTTAGGCTCCCCGGGAGGGGAAAGCGTCCTTTCTGGGTCCAAGCCTCTCTCTTGCTTCAGGGAGAGGAGTTTGGAGACCCATGTCTCTGCTGGAGACATGGGTTCAAATGACAGGGAAAGAGATTCCACCTCAACATTAGGAAGAACTTCCTGACTGTGAGAGCTGTTCACCAGTGGAACTCTCTGCCCTGAAGTGTGGTGGAGGCTCCTTTTTTGGAGGCTGCGTGGCCATCTGTCGGGAGGGCTTTGATTGTTCTGTGTGGTTGGACTGGATGTTCCTTATGGTCTCTTCTGTTGGAGCATGTAAAAATCACTTCGTGAGTGCGTTAACTGAAAAATACAAAGCACAAAGCTGATTGGTTGGGCTATGCCCAGGAAGCTAGCTGAGCCTGGGAGTTGTCGAAGGCTTTCATGGCTGGAATCACTAAGTTCTTGTGGGTTTTTTTCGGGCGATATGGCCATGTTCTAGAGGCATTTCTCCTGACGTTTCGCCTGCATCTATGGCAAGCTCTGAGGATGCTTGCCATAGATGCAGGCGAAACATCAGGAGAAATGCCTCTAGAACATGGCCATATCGCCCGAAAAAAACCCACAAGAACTGAGCCTGGGAGCTTTGGCAACAGTTACATCAATATTATAGAATCATAGAGTTGGAAGACCTCATGGGCCACCCAGTCCAACCCCCTGCTAAGAAGCAGGAAAACTGTATTCAAAGCATCCCCGACAGATGGCCATCCAGCCTCTGTTTAAAAGCTTCCAAAGAAGGAGCCTCCACCACACTCCAGAGCAGAGAGTTCCACTGCTGAACAGCTCTCACAGTCAGGAACTTCTTACTCATGTTCAGATGGAATCTCCTTTCTTGTAGTTTGAAGCCATTGTTCCACTGCGTCCTAGTCTCCAGGGAAGCAGAAAACAAGCTTGCTCTTCCCTGTGACTTCCTCTCACATATTTATACATGGCTATCATGTCTCCTCTCAGCCTTCTTTTCTTCAGGCTAAACATGCCCAGCTCTTTAAGCCACTCCTCATAGGGCTTGTTCTCCAGACCCCTGATCATTTTAGTCGCCCACCTCTGGACACATTCAATTGTGGTGCCCAGAATTGGACACAATATTCCAGGTGTGGTCTAGCCAAGGCAGAATAGAGAGGGAGCATGACTTTCCTGGATCTAAACACTAGACTTCTATTGATGCAGGACAAAATCCCATTGGCTTTTTTTGCCACCACATCACATTGTTGGCTCATGTTTAACTTGTCCACGAGGACCCCAAGATCTTTTTCACACGTGCTGCTCTCGAGCCATGCGTCCCCCATTCTGTATCTGTCGGGAGTGCTTTGATTGTTCTTTTACTGCAGTGTTTCTCAACCTGGGGGGTTGGGACTGCTGGGGGGGGTCATGAGGGGGATGTCAGAGCTCACCAAAGATAATAAAAAAACACAGTATTTTCTGTTGGTCGTATGTGTTCTGTGTGAGAAGTTTGGCCTAATTCTATCGCTGGTGGGGTTCAAGATGCTCTTTGATTGTAGGTGAACTATATATCCCAGCAACTACAATTCCCAAATGCCAAGGTCTATTTCCCCCAAACTCCACCAGTATTCATATTTGAGCATATTGCGTATTTGTGCCAGGTTTGGTCCAGAACCTTCATTGTTTGAGTCCACAGTGCTCTCTGGATGTAGGTGAACTACAACTCCAAAACTCAAGGTCAATGTCCACTAAACACTTCCAGTATTTTCGGTTGGTCATAAGAGTTCTGTGTGCCAAGTTTGGTTCAATACCATCATTGGTAGATTTCATAATGCCCTTTGATTGTACATGAACTCTAAATCCCAGCAACTACAACTCCCAAATGACAAAATCAATCTCCCCCAACCCCACCAGTATTCAAATGTGGGCGTATTTGTGCCAAATTTTGTTAAGTGAATTAAAATACATCCTGCATATCAGACATTTACATTACGATCCAGAACAGTAGCAAAATTACAGTTATGAAGTAGCAACCGAAATAAGGTTATGGTTGGGGTTCACCACAACATGAAGAATTGGATTAAGGGGTCGCAGCATTAGGAAGGTTGAAAACTACTGTTTTACTGCATGGCAGAATGCGGTTAGACTAGATGTCCCTTATGGTCTCTTCTGTTGGAGCACGTAAAAAATCAGTTGGTGAGTGTGTTAACTGAAAAATGCAAAGCACAAAGCTGATTGGTTGGGCTATGCCCAGGAAGCTAGCTGAGCCTGGGAACTTTGGCAACAGTTACATCAGTATTGTTGAAGGCTTTTGTGGGCGGAATCACTGGGTTGTTGTAGGTTTTTCAGGCTGTATGTCCATGTTCTAGAAGCATTCTCTCCTGATGTTTCGCCTGCATCTGTGGCAAGCATCTTTAGAGGTTGTGAGGATGTTTGCCACAACCTCTGAGGATGGTTGCCATAGATGCAGGTGAAATGTCAGGAGAGAATGCTTCTAGAACATAGACATACAGTCTGAAAAACCTACAACAACCCAGTTACATCAGTGTTTCTCACCTCAGTCGACCCAAGTTGTTTGCTGCTGGGCTAAATAGAGTGTCACAGACAAGGTGCACAGGACCTACCATAGTGGTTCTCAACCTGTGGGTCCCCAGATGTTTTGGCCTTCAACTCCCAGAAATCCTAACATCTGGCAAACTGGCTGGGATTTCTGGGAGTTGTAGGCCAAAACACCTGGGGACCCACACATTGAGAACCCCTGAGTCCTAGAGCTAAGCAAGCTGTTTTGGCACAGAAAATCATGCAAGCAGCTCACACCCTTATCTGAAAGCAAACAAAACAATTGACATTCTGCTTTTCTGGGGCACCCCGCATTTCATGCTTGGGGGAAATGCCTCTTCCTAATGGGGTAATGGGGAAAAATAAGAACATTATACTCCTAAATAAGATCTTCTTCCCCGCTGAAATTTTCCTGCAGTCCCCAAATTTCTAGCATTGCAGTGACATCAATCCTTGTTGGGGTTTAGTTGAGGACCCCACCTTGGAAGCCAACATCTATAGATGCGCACATCCATTATATACAATGGTGTGATAAAACTGTGTCCCTTATATAAAATAGCAAAATTGAGATCTGCTTTTGGGATTAAACCATGAATTGCTGAATCCATAGATGCAGAATTTGGTACAGAGTACCTGTTGAGGCATTCAGAGAAAAGGATATGGTCGAATCCTGCAAACCCCAACCCTAAAATCCTTAATGAACGCAGCAAAATATTGCCTGTGTACAAGGGAGCTTTTCTATGCATGTACACTTTGCATGCTGCCAGATTCAATTTTGATACACATGAAAATTAATTTACAAGTGGAACACGTGTTCTGGCACTACACAATTTTAAAGCAGATTTTGTTGGGAAATGAGACTTTACTAACCGCCAGACTTAATGCAGTGGAATGACTTGCAAAATGCACATTTAATTCCTCATTACTGTCACTTACTCCACAGTACAACTATTTTGCATGCAGAATAAATGTATTTTCAATAGTTTGGCTTCATGGAAGCTTCATGACATGCTTTCTAATTAAAATGCATGGATTTGATTTTGCTACAGAAAGCTCTTTTATAGCACCAACTCCCAAATCCCTTCCCTTCCCTACAATGTTTGTCTCTGCCTTCTTCCCATTAAAATTGTCTTCCTAGGATTGCCAGAACGTCAACTGGAGATGTTGCCTTTACCTTTAAGGGTTGTGTTTGTCGTTGTTTGCCATCAAGTCGACTTAAGATTAGAGCAACACTATAAATGAGAAACCTCCAAGATCATCCCTGCTTTAGATCCCTGTCCTCTTTTCCTAGGGCCCTTCCACACAGTCATTTAACCCTTTTCAAGGCAGAAAATCCCACAATATCAGCTTTGAACTGGGTTATCTGAGTCCACCCTGCCAGTTCAAAGCAGATAATGTGGGATTTTATTCAGCTGTGTGCAAGGGGCCCTACTGCCTTCCAGTTTACCAAGCACGATTCTCTTTTCCAATAAGTCACGTTGTCTCATATGTCCAAGGTAAGGCAACTTTAGTTTACTCATCTTTGCTTCCAGTGAGAGATCATGCTGGATTTGCTCAAAGACACGATCATTTGTCTTCTTACCACTCCATTGAACCAGCAGATATTGTTCCAGACCTAGTTGCACAATAAGGAACCCTTGCTGAAATTCCCTCTTTACACAACCTTTTAAAGCTTGCCCAATGATCAGGAATTTTGGGAGCTAAAGTCCAAAACACCTGAAGGGCACCACTGTTTTAAAGGTATAAGTTGCTACAGTTTTCATTCTGGCAACCCTATGCATTGCACCCCGGAACACCTCAGCAAGCAAGAGTCCAAAAGTGGCAGGCTAAAAACCAGAACCTCAATCAGTGGCTGATACCAAATGAGAGACTCCCTCCTGGGTACTCAGAAAAATGGGCAACTTGGAAGGCGCTGAACAGACTGCACTCTGGCACCACGAGATGCAGAGCCAACCTTAGGAAATCAGGCTACAAAGAGTAGTCCACGACATGCGAATGTGGAGAAGAGCAAACCACAGACCACCTACTATAATGCAACCTGAGCCCTGCCACATGCACAATGGAGGACTTTCTTATAGCAACACCAGAGGCACTCCAAGTGGCCAGCTGCTGGTCAAAGGACATTTAATAGAATGCCAAGTGTGCAACTTTGTGTGTGTGTGTGTGTGTGTGTTTTTGTTTTTAAATACAATACAACTGGTTCGCTTAATATGATAGATAAATACTCCTGCTATTGAGTGAGGTACCCAATACGATAAATAAATACTCCTGCTATACGATAAATAAATACTCCTGGTATTGAGTGAGGTACCCAATAATACACTGTAGAATTAATGCATTTTGACCACAGTTTAGCTGCTATGGCTCAATGGTGGGACCTGCA